TGGAAGGTCACTGCAAACACCTTGCCCAGACACCAGCAGGCTCCGGGGATTCGTGTGAGTGGCCAAGGGTGAGGTGAACGATGGAAGGTCACTGCATCAACACTGCCCTGACACCCGCAGGCTCGGGGATTCGTGTGACACAGCCAAGGGTGAGGTGAACGATGGAAGGTCACTGCATCAACACTGCCCTGACACCCGCAGGCTCGGGGATTCGTGTGACACAATGGCCAAGGGTGCATTCTACAGCAGACGGCCAGCTTTCCCAACGGGTCAAGGCGAAGAGGTCGAACATATTGAAAGCTAAGGCAAACATAAGAAACAATAAGTTGTAAACTCGGATGCTGTCGTGACCAGCCTCCATCTCGCGGCGGAAGAATCTGGAACTCCACCGTCATGGAATAGGTGCCACCTGTAGGACGGTTTGTTCATCAGTCTTCGTGTTGGAATGATAGAAAAAGGTGGCTGAGATCACACTTGCTAGCATTGCCGGGGCATCCTTCGCTGCGGTCAAGCACCCTGAGGCAACCAAGGCCAACACGGCAAAAAAACGACACACACTAGGAAATCAGCTACCGCTCAGGGTTCAGGGTTGAGGGGTTTGGAGCTTACGGTTTTACGAGTAACGGAACCAATTTTTCGTGAGAAAAACCGTTCCTGTGAACATCTGCAGCCAATTTCTCGCATCCATGCCGAACCCTTCTGCATCAGGACGAGTGCAACACGTTTGAGCCTTGGGCAGTTGGACGTACATACAGTATCTTAGTTGCTGAGTTCATAAGCCCCCAAAAGTGTACACTGTACACTTTCAGTTCTATAGTGGGTAATATTATCACCAAAAGTGTAAAGTGTATCCACTCAGCTACTAAGGTCTCGCAAAGCCGACACTCAAGACAGCACTCTGCTTCGGCTTTACGGTTGTTAGGGGCCCTTATACCCAGAGAGGCCAAGACCCCTTAATTCAGGAATATACCTTAAATTGTAGGGACCTTTATAGATACCCTTTTAATTAAGGAATATACCTGAAATTGTAGAGGCCTTTCTAGTATGGTTTAAGGTCTATTCCCTAATTACGGGGTATTGGGCTCCCTGGGTACATCTCAGCGCCGCAGAACAATCTATCTCCCTCACACCCTGGCATTGGCACTACGGTTGATGATATAAACCCTGCATTACCTTAAGGACCCTCGACTATAGGAATTATGGTATATTCCTTATTATGGGGGCATGCAGGGTTTATATTATCAGCCGTAGTACTCCTACTCAAAGCCTACGGGGCTGAGCCCTCTCATGCCATCTCAGCCATGAGGTCCCCATAACGGAGCTGGCCTCCCACGTCACTGACCTTGCATCTTGGCAGTCTCGGGTCAAGTGCTTACCATAGGGGCCCTAATCATTAGAATAGGGTTTTGGGTAAGGAGCCCCCCCCCCCCCCCCCCTCCAGATAGTATTGGTAAGTTTTTAGCCCCCTACATTACATCCCTCAATCCTAGGCGCTTGTTCTTGAAGCCTTTCGGGAGCACTTGTAGTAAGCCTCACCGTATCTAAACTTTGGGAGCTATTCTTCATACGGCCCCATAATAGCAAGGCGACTGGACTGAAGGCATGGCGGAAGCAGGACCTCTTCTTTTGTCTGGTTCTTAGTAGGGAATGGGGGAATGGATTATGGAGACTATTACGGTATTGGGGATTATATAGGGACTACTATAGGGATCTATTCCCCCATTCCCTACTAAGCACCAGACAGAGGAGGGCCTCTTCTTTCAGCAAAAGCCATGCCCCCAGCAATCTACTTCACAATCACTGCTATCTGGAGTTGCTTCGGAATTTGCGGGCTGTTGGGTTTCTTAGGGCTTGCACTTAGGGTCTAGCTTACTGTAGCTGCGGAACCGCAAATCAAGAACTCTCGTGTGATGACAGCACAATAGCCAAGCTCGAGGATTGCAACTCATGCCCAAACAATTAATTGCATATGGTTCCTTAATATGTTTCTAGTATAATGGGCCCCGAAACCCTGCTCTACTTATTAAGGCCCCTAGAATAGTATTTTTAATCATAATAAGACACACGAACCCCTTCACTAGTATTGCTCACTTTTTAGGCCCTAAACCTACCCAGAGGCCCCAAAGTAGTTCCTTTTTGGGGTTACCTTATAGGATTCTATATACGAACCCCAAAAAGGAACTACTTTGGGGCCTTTGGGTAAAGCCCCAGTTGTAAGCGCAACGAAGTTGCTAGCCGCTCGGTGAAGATCAGGATCGAGTCTGGCATGGGCTTCGGGTACGCTCACGGTTTAGGGTTTACCCAGAGGCTCCAAAGTAGTTCGCTTTTGGGATTCCCTATAGGATTCTAAATATGAGCCCCAAAAAGGAAACACTACAGTATGGAACCTTAGGGTACTTGGAGGATCATAGGACTTGGTAAGTAAGGTTATAAACAAGGTTAACTATGCTTATAACTACTTATATCCCCGATGAAGGTACTTATAACCTTACTTACTAAGTCCCATGATCCTCCAAGTAGGTGTGAAGCCGCGAGATGGTTGCAGCAGTCGGAAGGGAAACAGCTTACAGGCACGGCTGCGAAGCAGGTGCAGGAAGGGAGGGAACCAAGAGAAAGGAGGGGACTGGAGAAGAGGGCATTGTTTTCGGATGTAATCAGGTCACGATGTTCGCAGCATGGTCAGCTATTGATATTCTTACTTGGAGGATCATGGGACTTAGTAAGTGGGGTTATTAACAAGGTAACCATACTTATAAGTACTTATAACTCCAATTAAGGCACTTATAACCCTACTTACTAAGTCCCATGATCCTCCAAGTGCAAGTGTCAGCTACACTGCACTCTCCCTCATGGACTATGAGTCGACATCTGCATGAAGCTGCGCACATGCACTTGAAGCCCCGTTTCAATTTGAAGGCTGCCACAAAGTCTCCTCTCCGGAAAATTCCCAAAGCCCTGGCACCGTCGTCGCAGAACATTCCGAGGACGGACTCGAGCGCAGCTTCAATAATCCTTGGCAGTTTTGCGTTTCAAAGGGCTTAGGGTTCTCGTGTTGGTAGGATGCTTATGATGCGAACCCCGAAACAAGGCATTCGTAGTTTGGTGGCTACCTCTTCGCGGCTCCGGCTCGTTTAGGGCTCGGGGATTTTAGCTGGCGCCGTCGCTCTCTGACCATACATGGTGCACATGATGTTGGTGTGCGATGCTTTGTTGGGTTGAAAATGAAGGAGTATATTAAGGCCTCAGTATGTATGAGAGGCCCTCATAAAGACAGGGACCAACCCTGCAAACTGGAGTCTGTATTCGGGCTCCAACTTTCTGAAGAACTCTCATCTATGCTGAACCCCACGTAGCACCCCGTTGAACTCGCCACTCCCAAACATCCGGGGAACCCTAAACCTTCCGAGGCGCGGCAGATATGCAGCGGTGAAAGACCCACGCAGCGTGATCGTGGCAGTTGCGAGTTCCTGCACTTGCTCGGAGGCCCTTTTGACTTAGTAAGTAGGGTTAGTAAGGTGGGTTATGGGGATTTTAATAGGGTTTCTAGGGGATACTAAGTAGACATACTAAGTCAAAAGGGCCTCCAAGTGCCGCAAGAAGACCCAAGCAAAAACCCAAAAACTGAAACCCTAAACCATAATTCACGGTGTCCTCCTGGGACTCTTCCGTGTCCCAGGAGCCCAATAAGCTGGCGAAGTTGTAGTGTGGGCCTGGGGAAAATTCAGCTGTACGGTTTTAGGATGTTAGGCTTTAGGGTTTTTGGCTTCCTTTTGTTCTTTTTGAGGGCTCTTTGGGCCTCTGGCAAAAGGTTTGATTTTTGGCTGAAGGGCTCTTTTCCGCCTGCAAGGGTTTAGGGATTAGGGCCTCTGGAAAGCCTCCACAGCGGGCAGGGCATTTTGCTTTTTTTTGGAAGGTGGGTTGCCATAAGGGTTCTCTGTTTTTTGAACCCTCGTTTCCGTCTGCCCAACATCCTGAGCAACCTCTACACCCTCAAAATCTTGAGACTGCCAGCAACAGTCAAAGTCGCACGCGACACCCTTAACCCTAAACCGCCATAAAGCCTACCGCGCCATAAGCTATGAACCCCCTTGGAAGCACAAAACACACACAGTATGTTTTAAATATAGTAAGCCCCATGGAAGGCCCATCGCTGAGGAGGCCGCGGATCTCGAAAGCCAGTGCTGACTGCAGCAGGATCAGCAGCCTCAAAGAATTTGGCTGCTGCGGTGCAGCTCTTGGAGGATCAAGCGACGTAGGGGTTTTCAGGCTCAGGGTTTGCCTTAACCCTGAATAACCTACCTTTTCTACTATTTGCTTAAGAACCCCCCCAAAAATAAAAAATAATAATCCCTATATTATCCCTATAAGGAATATATTTTTATTTTTTTTGGGGTTCTTAAGCAAATAGTAGCTTTAGGGCTCCTTATTATGATTTCTTTGTATAAGTCCTTAAACAGGTAGGCTATTCCGGGTTAACGTGGGGCGTATCCGGATTCATGGAAGAACGCCTGTAACGTTGGTGTAGCCTACTTGCCAAGTCTCCCGATCTTGTAAGTCGCAGCATGCAGCATCGGACATCTTCTGCAACCTTTCAGTCTTCCCTGACTTGGGCTTGAGGTTCGGGTTGGGATGGATGCTTTGATCCAAGCGGCCATTGTATCCTTGCCATCCGGCTGGCCGCCAGGACACCCGTTAGGGTCTGGTGGCAAGAAGTATCATTTGCAAAGAGGCCGCCTGCACCCCTTGAGGGTTCGGCAGCGCCTGAGTCTACCACCTTACTCAGCACATAAGCAGCTAAAGTTGAGCAGCTTCATCTTGACTTGTAAGGTTCGATCAACTCGAACCTGTCGCATTCTGCAGTAGGAAGCCAAGGCTAACTAACCTCCACTCTAAAGCCTGAACCCTAAACGCTAAAGCCCTGAAGCCAACCTTCCGCTTAATGAGAGCTCGCTATTTGCAGCATACGCAGACTGCCTTGGCAAGAGATCCAGGGCTCAATGCTACATTTCAGCCTGTGAGCCAAGCAGAGTTCGCAACAACGCCTGAGAGACTGAGTGTTGTTTAGGGTTTGGGCCTGAAATAAAGAAACCATGTTGTTGACTATAGAGCCCTATTATTATAACTTAAAGTAAACTCGTTAACAAAAGCCCCGCATATAAAGAAACAGCTCAGGTTCAGGATCATATCATTTACTATAGATCCCTTTTAGTTCCAAGGAACCCTAAGGGTACCCTTCAAAGGAACTCTTGATATAAAAAACACAAACCTAAACTCTAAACCTTATAGACCCCTTTGCTGGAACCCCAAACTATGCACTAAACACATTGGGGAACAAATTCTCCAATATGTTTAGTAAATTGTGGTAACTTAAACAAAGGTATCTAAACGACAAAAACAGATCGGGTTCAGGATCCCTCTACAGTATACCATGGTACATTGTAGTACATGAACATACTAGAGTATAGTATATTATAGTATATTCTAATATGCTATGGCATATTATGGTATATCCTAGTATGTTATAGCATATTTTAGTATATGGTAGCGGTGCATCATGCTCCTTGGGGTTTCGGTTTAGGCCTCTCGTGAGCTTGAACATGATCCCATGCAAAGGATCAAAGCCTAGCCCTGAAATCCTTGCACTTTAAAACTAACCGGTGGTTTTGGGGGTTCCCTTGGCTCTTTAGCTCCTTACTTAATAGGGATTATCATCATCCCTGGCTCCTGAGCTCCCATAATATCAATGGTTAGGAAAGCTCACTTTAAAGGGTCGCTCAGGGTCCCTCCGCTCCGGAAGTGCTAATAAGTTCCATGGGCCAATACGAACGACCGGTTCTCTTGCCATTTGCCAGAGGACAGTGAGCCAAAAACGTCTTCAAATCTCGGGCCTTCATGGAAAATGCTGTTTATTCATTGAGGGACTCTGAAGGGGACATTGAAAAACTTCGTCTTCTTTATTTGGACCCAGGGCTCCAAGTATACAAATAGTACCTACTTTGGGCTCTACAGTCCATAAATCGTACCTACTTTGGGCTGTTTGCGGCTCTCCGTTTCGTTCTTTTGCCACATTGGACTGCATCTGCGTCAGAGTCCTGGCGCCCTCGGGAAATCGCGTCGTGGAGGCTCGCAAGCCTAATGTCCTGAAAGGCTTCGGACGACGGTTCATTATAGTCAGTGGAATTATAGTATGTGTTATAGTATATTTATACATAGTATGTTGTAGTATAATTGTAGTAGAGTTATAGTCTAATCCGGACCATGAGACTTAGTAAGCAAAGTTCCAACTACCCTAACAGGGGTTATAAGCACAAGTATAGTTGCCTTATTTGTAACCCCACTTCTTAAGTCTCATATTCCTCCCAGAAGCGCTTCACAAATCGTAGTTGCAGGCTGTAAATAAGCTTCTAGGCACCACGACCCCGATAGGGTGAATCATGCTTAAAGGATCATGGGACATAGTAAGTGGGGTTATAAACAAAGTAACTATACTTACAAGTACTTATAACGCCTCACTTACTAAGTCCCACGATCCTCCAAGTAATCCTGGGCAGAATCGCCATCCTTTTGGGCCCAATGATCTGGATCCATCTTCGAATGTACTAATGTACTGAAAGATCCCTTCCCGGAGCATATATTAAATGTGTGGGGGTTTCCGAAAATAGGGGACCCTAATAGAGTAGCCTAAATACCAGGATCCTTATTACAAGGACCCCAAATAAGGTATCCATGGAAACTCCCATGTTTATGGTTTAAGAGACTGACTCGCAGCCGCTGAAAACTCGCTTCCCAAACAGGTCGATGATGCTGAACCTCATAATCAAACTGTTTACACATGAAAAGCCAGATGAAGCTAGATCTGCCCGATTTTCCAGAATTGGAGCTATAATATACGTGCCTTAATAATCAGAGGGGTATGTTATATTATATTTACAATCAAGAACCCCCAAAGTAGTATAGGTAATCATTAAGGCCCCTATGTTACTAGCACAGAATTCTGTGTGTCCTTCGCAGCGTGTGGGTAGCCGACACGCGCCGAGCCGCAATGATGCGGTCGGTGAGCCGAGAGGGCTCCTGGCAGCACATGGACTAGCAGGCGCCCTTCATAAACGTTCCTGTGCTAGGGCTTGGGGTTTAGGGTTTAGGGTATCAGAATCTGCCAGAAACATTATATGGGGGTTTCCGAAAATAGGGGATCCTAGTATAGTACCCTAAATAGTAGGACCCTTATTATATTAGAAGGACCCCCAAATAAGGTACCCCTTACTTTCGGAAACTCCCATATATGTCCAACTTCGACGGCGTAACTTCAAGCAACTTGTGGCCAAATCACCAACATGGCGACCAAGCACTAACACACACGTGGTTTCAATCCGTCGCATCGTCAACACGCAAAACCATGACGGGAAACGCAAATGATCGCCTGTTCTGGGAGGTAGCACTGATAAAGCAAAAACTATACCCCCACCCCTTAGAACCATAATAAGAATCATATTTTTTAATAATCTCCGGGTTTTATGTGAACAAAAATAAACGAATAATTCCTCAGGCGACTACAGAATGATCAGGACTTTGTTGAACGAAGGGTTGCATAGCTTCAAGCTTTTCTGAAATCACGGTACAGAGGTCAAATTTTAGCGCTTCATGCATAGGGCCTTAACTAGGATGCCCAGTAACCTAGGAATAAAAAGGCTCGCTTTTGGGTATTGGACAACTTTATAAAGAACCTAGGACTACAAAGGGAATAAGCGTACTACTGGGCATCCTTGAATGTAACCCCAAACCCTAATAGGGCTTTAGGGTTTGGGGCACCCTCGGGCTTGTGCGCCTCGGGCACAAGGAGGAGCTCTGGAAGCTTGGCTGCAAGCAGGTTCCAGAAGTACAGCAGCGTCCTTAGGGTTTACTTGGGGGGCCCTTTTGACTTAGTAAGTCTACTTAGTATCCCCTAGAAACCCTATTATAATCCCCATAACCCACCTTACTAACCCTACTTACTAAGTCAAAAGGGCCTCCAAGTAGGGTTTAGCGTTCAGGGTCCTCTATGGGATCAGTGCACCAGTGTGGCGATTTACACCTGTGTGAAGTAACGTAGACCCTGATTAATAATCCGCCGAGTCTTCGGGATGTCTACCCGAGACTACCCCAACTCCCATTTCTCTTCCCCGACGTTTTGTGGCGGCGCCGTTCAGCTCAGACTTTAAACCCTAAACCCTGAACCCTTAATCCTAAACCCTAAACATGGGAGGATTGTCTTCTATTTTCGCTCGGGAGGCTGGCTGGTTGGAGCCTTAAGGTGCCTTGGCCGTGATTGTGGTTGTTGTTGCTGTTGTGCGGTTTAGGGTTTAGGGCTTAGGGTTTGGGGGGAAAGGAGGATGTGAGGAAACCTGAGTCCTATACCGACACCCATACTCATGCTCTGGACGTGAGCTGGCCTGGACGAGGCAGGCACGCGTACCGGTTTGATTGCCCCCATTTCAAGAGGGGTTATCTGTATATCTAGTAGTGTTCGTCTAATGTGGACGATCGCAGTAAGTCGTAAGTTCTGATCTTTGCACGAAGCGTCGAATCGGCAAGCGCTGCAGGGGAGGTAAAAGACTATGATGCTTGCAAGCTGAGTGCGGCGAGATACCTATCGACTAGTAGAGCATGATGCAGGGAGACGTATGCCAGCAGCACCACCGAATCGAAAACACAAGTCGCGAAACCCCTAAATCCTAAAACTCAAAGATCCTAAACCGTATGAGAAGTTCTCATAACAAGGATTGTACTATACCCCTAAATCCTAAACTCAAAGATCCTAAACCCTATGAGAGGTTCTCATAACAAGGATCGTACTACTAACCAGTGGTTTTGGGGGTTTCCTTGGCTCTTGGCTCCTTATTTAATAGGGATTATCCTCATCCCTGGCTCCTTAGCTCCCATAATATCAATCGTTAGACTATTCGGGTCTCTACAAGGAGGGTGCTGAGGCCACACCTTCGCGAGAGCTGCAGGTGGAAAGCCTCCATCTCGCCACGGAGCCTCAGGGTTTAGGGTTTAGGGATGTAGGGTTGTAGTTTGGGGCCACTACAAATATTTATGAGTAGGTACTTCTATAGCAAGCATCAAGGGAAATTAGCGTTTTGCCACGGTGCCACCTAGCTTAAGGCTCCGGGTTCAGGGCATTTCATATAGGGGTCTTTATGAATAATTAGAATAGGGTTTTGAGGCCCGGTATACTATAGTTATAATGAAGAACCGCCAAAATAGTATGGGTGATTATAAAGCCCCCTTCAGCATGTACGAGAGCTCAATCATGGTTTGGGCATTGCTGCCCCCCCATGCTGTACTTGCGCGGGAGGCAAGCCCCGAGTTACGAACCACTTGAATTCGCAAGGGCTATAATTGGAGGATCATGGGACGTAGTAAGTCATGTTATAAGTACCTTACTTGGGGTTACAAGTAGTTACAAGCAAAGTTACCTTATTCATAATCTCACTTACTAAGTGCCATGATCCTCCAAGTAGCAGGGATCTTAAGTTGCAGGCCGTAAAGAAGCAGTGTTTATGAATCAGGCTCCAGGCTTCTTCATTACAAGATGGAACTACGATAGACTTTACAGCTATGTGTGGCTGACGATGATGATGATGAATAGTAATGATACCTGTGTATGTATGTGATATTTCTCAGCTATATGTCATATCCAAGTTGTATGGTATACTTAGTTGCTGAGTTCATAAGCCCCGCAAAAGTGTACACTTTCAGTTTTATAGTGGGTTTAAAATATCCCGAAAAGTGCAAAGTGTATCCACTCAGCTACTAAGTACAGGTGCATGGTAAAGCTCCCGTTGGCTCGATCTTCCCGGTGCCTCTCCAGCTCTCCAGGCGTTGCTGCCCAAGACAGCAGCTGTCGATACAGGTCCTTGGAGGATCATGGGGCTTAGTAAGTAGGGTTATAAGTTGCCCTAATTGGGGTTATAATAATACTTATAAGTATAGTTACCTTACTTATAACGCCACTTACTAAGTCCCATGATCCTTTAAGTCCTCACTGGGTTTCAGGTCAAGGTTGGTAGGTTAGGGTTTAGGGTTTAGGATTTAGGATTCCTGCAAAGGGTGACTATAGGGGTTCCTTTAAGGGATCAAAAGGCTTTAGGGCTCAGGGCTGATGGTTTAGGGTTTAGGTTTCTGAGTAGCCGTAGCCCCTTTACAACACCCTCTTTCCTAATATTGTGTTTTAGTACGGAGATCCCAACAGAAAAGGGCAAAAGGGTACTCATCAGGAACCTAGGGGTTTCGGCCCTAGGCTTTTTTCTAGACGTGAGGTTTTCCGGGTTTCGGGATGGAGTGTGGGGCGCAGGGTGTCGTGCTGAGATGTGGGAGTTTCCGAAAACTAGGGGACCCTAATATAGTACCCTAAATAGTAGGATCCTTGTTATACGGACCCCAAAATAAGGTACCCCTAATATTTCGGAAAGTCCCATATCCAATTCATGAGAAGCGGCCACAAAAGAGTGGAAGTGCTGCACGTGCGGATAGCCTCGCTGAGGCTAGTGGGCTTCGGGAATGAGATTTAGTACAAGGGGTCTACACGGGGTACTACGGTTTATGGTTTTAGGGTGCATGCAGGTTTTAGGATTGACAGTGCGGTTTGGTTTGGTTTGGGGGGTTCTTGAGAAAAGCAAGGGCAGTGTTGCGTCGGGACGGAACCAGATGCTGTTATTCTGGGATACCGGCGCCAGGCATCCGCAGTTTGCAGCCAGTATCCTTAGTCTCCCAAACCCCTGAGCTCTAAGCCCAAAAACAACCCAACACCCAAAATCCCCAAAACCACTGAACTCTAAACCCAAACTAGGGGATCCTAATATAGTACCCTAAGTAGTAGGATCCTTATTGTAAGGGCCCCAAAATAAGGTACCCCTATTATCGGTGCTCCCTCCTGCTCCGGAGCTGAAGCTTTGAAGGCCAGTGGCGAATTTGGTCCAGCTCGCAACCCCAGGGAGAGTATGGGAACGTCCTTGGATCAAGAGGCATGTCATGGGGGCTTCCGAGAATAGGGGTACCTTATTTTGGGGCTCTTACAATAAGGATCCTACTACTCAGGGTACTATATTAGGATCCCCTAGTTTTCGGAAACTCCCATGTGCTTTTACGAAGCCCACGCCCCCGCCGTGCCGCCCGCAGAAAGATCTAAAGGAACCCGAACTGCCCGTTAACTATCGTGTAAGATCCCCCAAAACCCTACTCTGATCCCCTACACTGAATCCTTGTAATCGCCCTTATAGACCCCTCTAAAGGAACCCTATTCTAATTATGTAGGGATCTTAGTAATTACCTATACTATCTTGGAATTTCCTTATTATAACTTTAGCATAAGATCCCCGACACCCTACTCGAATTATTACGGCCCCTACACTAAATCCTGATAATAGCCCTTCTAGACCCCTCTAAAGGAACCCTAGTCTAATTATTACGGCCCCTAAAGTAGATGCCCAGTCGCAACTCTCCCTCGAGCCGGTACAGGGGTGAGTGCATGTGAAACCAGCCGATGCCGGTGCGGCACATGTCCGACATAATCCTGGAGCTTGATCTTATGCAGGGCTTAGGGTTCAAGTATTCGGGTGGAGGGTTTGGGGTTCGGGTATGCAGGTGTAGGGTTTGAGAAAGGTCTGCCACTGCGGCAGCAGCCGCTGCCACCTTGAAGCTTAACGTGAAGTTGCTATCGAGAGTCAGATTTTGGGAGCTGATCAGCAGATTCTCAAAGTCAGCGGATGCATGCAGGCTGGCATGAAGTGCCCGGACGTGACCTCCCTGCCAACAGGCTTGCCTCCCCTGGAAGGTTGTCAATGTCACGCCCCGACACGAGATGACGCGGAAAAGCGCCCGTGCGCGCACGCGCGCGGCCGTGTGAGAGTGTGTGTGTGTGTGTGGGGTGGTGTGTGTGGTACGGCATGCTGCATTGAAAACGATCTGCGCAATTGCGTGGGGATCTCGCAATACAGGCAAGTCTGCGATAGATTCCGATAGAGCATCCGCAGGCATATGGTTCTCACGTGAGCACGGCTTTGGCAAACTGCAGCGTCTCTTATTGTCTAGAACACAACCGGGTGTCTTCTGTAGATCGAGACGCTTCGTCCATGATGTTGCAGTTCGGCGCATAAGTACGGGTTACATCTTGGGTTTCTTGTTAACACACCCAGGGCCCACCCAGATCTTAGCAGAAAACTCTGCAACTTTTGAAAACACGGATTTTAGGAAAGGGAGTGGAAGCAAACACGTCAGGTGGCAGGCGCTTGCAACCAACAGAGTGCGTCCCCAGGTAGCCAAGTTTCTCGAAAATGCTACCAAGTTCGGTAACATGCCCATTGTGCTCTAACCATAACAAGGACCCGCCCCAACATAGTATATGTAGGTACGGCCCCTGTATTAACGAACATTTATCGTGCAAGCTCCTGTCCTGGCTTGCCAGTCTGCATGGGGCACCAGTGTAGGTACCTCAGGGAGACTCCAGACTATACGTCTGACGGAGGGTCTTCTATGACATTAAGCTGCCGGTGTCTGGGAAATTCCGAAAATAGGGGACCCCAATAAAGCACCCTAAACAATAGGATCCTTATGATAAGGACCCCAAAACAAGGTACCGCTATTATATTAAACTGACGCAGGGTCTTCTCTCATATTAACCTGCTTGTCAGGTATCATGGGGAACCAAAGGTTAACCTTTTCGGTTATAGAGGGGATTATATATAGGGACACCCCAAGAAAGGCTGAAGGTTGCCTACTCTACTAGGTTAAACTGTCGGTATATAAGGACTACAAGGGAAAGTCTGACTGGTTAGTTCTGAATCTGTTTACCTCCCCTACTTGGAGGATCATGGGACTTAGTAGGTGGGGTTATAAATAAGGTAACTATACTTATAACTACTTATAACCCCAGTTAAGGTACTTATCGCCTTACCTACTAAGTCCCATGATCCTCCAAGTGCAAAACCTCGACCCCCAGATTACACGGCCTGTGCTTGCTCTCTGAGCATCGCACCTGCAGAGAGTAGAGCTCCGAGAAGGTGAGCAGCGTGATGTCACCGGCGAGATAGATCCTACTTAAAGGGTCATGGGACTTAGTAAGTGGGGTTATAAATAAGGTAACTAGACTTATAAGTATTTATAACCCCAATTAAGGCACTTATAACCCTACTTACTAAGTCCCATGATCCTTTAAGTAGGATGCCCAGTAACCTAGGAATAAAAAGGGCTCCCTTTTTTGGTATTGGGTAACTTTATAGGGAACCTGGGACTACAAAAAGGGGATAAGGGTACTACTGGGCATCCTAGGATCTTGAAAGACGAAACTCAAAACCAACAAACGAGTTATGGCCGGTTAGAGTTTAGCTAACCAGTGGTTTTGGCTCTTTAGCTCCTTACTGACTCCTTACTTAATAGGGATTATCATCATCCCTGGCTCCTTGGCTCCCGTAATATCAATGGTTAGTTAGGGTTCTGGGTCCTGAGGTGTAGGGACCTGCCGTCACAAAATGGCATTGTAAGTAGACAAGCCTTGCTCGTACATCTCTCACACGGGCTGTTGATGTGCACTCTAAACGCATGAGGCAGCGACGCAGCCATGTACTCAACCGCATCGCTCCACCAAATCTTGCCACGAACCTCTGCAGTGCTTCGTCTGCTTGTGCCGGCATCCAAGATGAGTGCTAGATCGCAGTCACTGCTACTACTGGGCACAGCGCAGCGAGAGGGTTTGTCTCTGATGCATCTGTTCATTTAATTTTTTGCTCATCACGACTTTCACGATGTGATCTGTCCCGTGCTGAGTTGCATCGGCCATCGACGCGACCAGCTGAAAGTCAAGTCTCTAGAAGCCCTCGCTGATTTCGGTCAAGACAGACACTACCCATGCTGTGCTGCAATCAGTTTTAGGTGGAGTGGCAGAACAACGCGAGGCTGCAGGTCATGTTTGGGCAAACTGTTCTGCCCTAAGTCCCACCTGGCCCTGCCAGGGATCACCGGCGCCGCGGTTGATGCTGTCAAAGCCACCCTGCCACACCTTATGTGGGGTCAGCTGAGCCAGCATTCCATAGCACTCCCAGTCCCAGCCGTGTTCTTAGCTTCCTGCATCCACAAGAGACCTGTATTCGGTCTTCAAGACAATACCTCAAACTCAAGCCTGAAACCGTAAGAGGCGGCAACCACTTCACGAGGGGTTTAGGGTTTGGGTTCTTTCAACTAGACGTGAAGCTTTCGCGACTGCAAAAGGGCCACAACCAATTATTGAGTCCCCCATGAAACAAAACGCAAACACCCTACAGAAGAGCCCTTCTCGATCCCTTTCAGGGGACCTATTTGAAGGAGGCCTAACCCTAAACCCTAAATCCTAAACCCTAAAGCTATTGCGTTGCAAGCCAGTGGGCCCAGCCTCGCTTAAGGCCCTGGCATCCACTTCGACAGGAACATCGGCACCCTGGCAAACAGGAGGAACTTGAAACGTCAGTGTGTTGCGATGAGTCTGGACCCAAAACCTAACCTAACCAGTGGTTTTTGGGGTTCCCTTGGCTCTTTAGCTCCTTACTTGATAGGGATTGTCATCATCCCTGGCTCCTTAGCTCCCATAAAATCAATGGTTAGTAACCCCTGTGGCCATATTTTGGCATATAGTGTCTACGTTCTACTACGGGACCCTTCAGGGCGCAGAGTCTGAACGTGCTAGCTCGTGTCTGCGGCTGACCCAGACTTCCAGAATCCCATAATTAGGGAATATACCTTAATTCATATTAGGGATCCTACTATAATTTAAGGTATATTCATTAATTAAAGGATTTTGGAAGGTCTGGGCACCTGAACCCAGGGCAACCGGTTGAAGTGGCCAAACATCGCACCGAAGAGCTGACCTGCGAACAGCGCCGTGAAGCTGCAGTTAAGAAGGGGCCTTAATGATTAGAATGGGGTTCCCGGGTTCCTTTAAAGGGATCTATCAAGGGTTCTGTAAGGGATCTATAGTAGGGTTCTGTAGTATAAGGACCTTACTCATTAGAATAGGATCTTGGGACCATTATACTGTAAATACAAGAAGAAACCCCCAAAATAGTGTGTTCGGTATTCGGTCAGGTTCGTAGAGCCCATTTGGGCGCAACCCACAAAATAGTGTACGCAATTATTTAAGCCCCTGTAGTACACGGTTTTGACATAGCTTGAGGGCCACTTGCGCGTGACCCGGTTCAAAGGGCCATCGGAAGCACGGTCTCCACTGCCAAGAGTTTCTGAAGCCCAGGCAACTTTGCTAAGATGGGAGTTTCCGCAAATTAGGGGTACCTCATTTTGGGTCCTTTTTCTAAGAATCCTACTATTTAGGGTGCTATATTAGAGTCAACTATTTTCGGAAACTCCAATGTGGGTAGTTGTCGAAATTATGGCCCCTTTTGGGTACCCTAAATATTAGGTGCCGTATTATAGTAGGGACCCAAAAAGAAACCACAATTTTGACAGCCACCCATGTAGGGACCTTAACGATTAGAGTAGGGTTCTGGGGGATGTTAAACTACAACAATAATAAGGATTGGTAATTATTTAGGCCTCTGTATTAATAATTGTACAACAAGGTTCAACGTCAAACACAGAAGTGCTGCTTGCATCAATGACAAACAAGCTTGTCATTGACACAAAAAACCACACGGCATGAACCCTCGACTATGCCAGTGTCTAACACTACCTTCCTGAACCCCCAAATGTAGGTAAAGTAATGGCCCAAAACCGCTGAAGGGCCATTATTCTACATGCTTTGGGGGTCCAGGTTGTGGCATTTTTGCTTCTTCAAGTCGCACATGGAAGCATCGGAAGCGAAGTCTCATCTCTGCGCGACCGCACCAATAACGTGGCTCTTGGGTCATACCATGCAACAGAAAATGTCCAGCGTCTTGGATGACCCAGGCAGAACGAGCAGTTGAAAGCTATCCGGCCTGCTCGCAGATCGTAGTTAAATATTCGCTCCAAACATCGTTAACATTGCTTACACCATAACCGGCGGTGACAACACACATGCCATCTTTGACCTGGGCATACATTGGAGCGACGACGGAATCAAAAAAGCAGTCCGCAACCCTCCACCCTCCGCAGAAGTTCAAGGAGTCTTCGGTGAAGGAAGAATCAACATAGATCATGTCTCGAGTGCTTCTGACTGGATAGCCTGTCGAAGGCCAACAATACAACTGTATTGGTATTTGAGGCAAGGTCCTTTCGCAGTTGGCTCGGTCTTGCTGCTTGCACCGAATCACGCAGGAACCGGCTGAAGGAAACACCGACATAAGATTTTTCCTTGCCGCACCTTGCTTCATATTGCAAGCAGCAACTTGCCAGCCGGGATCACAGTGCAACAGCACAGTTGCTGAACGAACTGGCCACTGGACATCCCTCTCCTCTTTCAGCTTCTTGCGCGGCGTCGGTCTCGGAGTCGTAGAAGGGAGCCCAGTCGTGGATGCTGCGGATGTGGAAGTCGTCGTGGTGTTGAACCTGGGCTTCTTGTTAAGGAATTTAATTTAAGTTACCATAAGAAGGAAGCCATCGCATTTTCCACTCATCCCTATTAGGGTAATTAAGGGCCTCAATAACTAGAATGGGGTTCGGGGACCCGTTACACTATAATCATAACAAGGAACCACCCAAAGTAGTATTGGTAATGATTTAGGCCCATAGTAACTTAAATCAAATTCCATAACAAGAATCCTAGGAACTGCTGTGCCCACGGCACGTACTGGGATCTCAAGAGATCCTTCACTTGCGGGTGGATCCGGCATTGCCCATACTAAGGAATATACCATAATTCCTTAGAAGCTGCCCCCACCCTGTAATAGTGACTATAAGGATTATATAAGGGCCTTATTATATTCGTATATACCACTATGGGGGCCCCTTCTAAAATCTACCATAATTCCCATAGTGTCGGGTCCTTAAGGTAATGCTGGATTTATATCATCCACAGTCCTTCACTTGCGGGTGGATCCCACCCCACTCCCAAAGAGGAAAGCAATGATCCACGTGGCGGTCAATCACCTGCTCGTCGGATGAGCTAGTGTCACGTAGGGGTTGGGTACTGCCCCATACAGTAACAGTCTATATTAGGGCTACTACTAAGGGCCTAATATATCTATATTATCAGTATTATCTAACTGTTACTGCGAGGGGGCAGTACCCAATGTAGGGGCCTCAATAGTTCGAGTAGGGTTTTGGCTCTAAGGAATGATCTTGGTAATCATTTAAGCCCAGTCAGTGCACACAACCAACAGAAACATGCCAGAGCTTCTTCGCAGCGACTAGAATGGCCACTGAAGTCTTATGACCGGCCCACCCTACCACCGAAATCGAAAGTCGAACCAACCGTTTTCCTCCACCCCTTTTGGGTCCCTACTATAATACGGCACCTATTTCTAGGGTACCCCAAAAGGGACCATAATTTTGACAACTACATGCCTTCCAATTCGAATTGGTCGACTCGTCCAGACTTCGGCGCCAGTCAGCAGGCGAACACCCAGACGAACCACCCTTCCACGTATGCGCGACCGCCACCTGAACCAAGCGCTTGCACCCGAAGTCGAAGCAAGATCGTAGGCACACATGCAATATTCTGCTACAATGTGGGACGTTCCGTTTTTCAATCGAGTTTCTGGGCCAATCTGCAACTGAAGTCGTGGACTGGTTGCAATGTGTGCATGGACTTGGGCTCAGTTTTTTGTTGACGACCTGTACCTACCCTGAAACAAGCTTGTGTAGAGTCCACGAAAATACCCAAGTCTTCGCCAATGTCAATCGCTACATGGGGGTTTCCGAGAATTGGGGGTACCTTCTTTTGGGGCTCTTATAATAAGGATCCTACGGTTTAGGGTACTATATTAGGATCCCCTATTTTCGGAAACTCCCACATGCAAATAAAGAAGCCAAAAACATGTCGGGGACTTTCCTGCCTGTGAGTCCTCGAGCGCAGTTTGGTTCACGTGGCGAAGGCCTATAGAAGAGCTCTTCTGGCTGCTATCGCTTGACGATGTTCCCCAGGATGATGATGCATGCACGTCGACTGAAAAGCCTGTTCTACCCCCTCCTCCTCCTGCAGACACTGAACTCTGCTGAGCTTGGGAATGGCTTTGCTCAATAGCCTCTGATGCGATGTTGCTGACGTCAATGCGGGATTGGAATTTAGTGCTCTGATAGCTAGCCGTGATGCGCCACCATCCTCCTAGCAAAACTTGCGGGCACACATGATCTCCGAAACGATCGAACAGCTGCCAGGCGAGGGCGTAAGCGTCCGCCCCTGGAAGGCCATGCGATGGGAGAGCTTTTGTGATATTACTCACAGCATCTTCGAAAGAAGATGACAGGTCCAGCATGTCACCTGAGCTTTGAAGTCATCAGGTAGAACAAACAAGGTATAGACTTTTATTCACAATGGTTGCCTTTACGTAACAGGTCTCCCAAAACGTAATCCAGTATGGTACTCCGAAGCCCAGTCACGCTGGATCAACACGTGGAGCCTCGGTTCCAAGTAGAATGTCGACCGGTAGAGGCTTCGCGTTGTCCTCGCAAAAGCATGGAGAGCGGTGACTTGGGGATTTACCTGGAGGATCATGGGACATAGTAAGTGAGGTTATAAATAGGGTAACTATACTTATAACTACCTATAACCCCACTCAAGGTACTTATAACCTTACTTACTAAGTCCCAGGATCCCCCAAGTGTACCCTACACCCTAAACCCCTATAGATCCCTTTAATCAGCCCTTTAAGGGAACCCTTATCCCTACTAAGTCTCAGGATCCTCCAAGTAGGGCTTAGGAAGTCTCGGGTTTAGGTGACTTCTATGCTGCAATAGGGGGTCCTAATATGTACCCTAAATAGTAGGATCCTGATAATACAGGACCCCGAAAGTAAGGTACCCCCTAACTTTCGGAAACTCGTGACACCCAAGATGACACAAAAAACAAACAGACACACGTGTGGACTTGTCAGCGCGGGCGTCTCGCTCAGCTTTCGCATTTTCTTGGCCTCAGCCTCCTTCGCAGTCCCGCCCGATTGACCCCTCCGATCTTGGTGGCCGGCACTAGCCTTAGCCGCCCCTAGAACCAGAGTAACAACGACTTTCTCTTCTTAATCCCCTTCAGTGTATGATAATAGAAATCAAACATAACTCCTATGATCATAGAAACCCTTAGCGGGCTAGCGGGGAGGGTGGTAGAGGACCAGATTTCCTGAAATAGGCCGTATTCCCCCCTACCCCCCTAAGGGTCCTTATGATAAGAGCCCATATTATATAATCCCCCAAATCCCTTCCCCATTCCCTACTAAGAACCAGACAAATGGTTCCCAAGAGCAGCAAACCCTAAACCCTAAACCCTAAACCGTCAAAGCAGCTCCAGCGTGCGCAAAGATGCTTTGGGCTTCGACGCCAACTTCCAGTCCGAAGTTGCTGCTGCTGGAAGAAAAGGCGCCTTCCGAAAATTACAGTAAACCTTAGAAGGGGCCCCCACCCTGTAATAGTGGTATAATAGCAATATAATAGGGCCCTAATATAATCCTTATAGTCACTATTACAGGGTGGGGGCAGCTTCTAAAGTAAACCCCATTAAGTTGGAAACCTAGCTAAGGCCAAATAGTGCTGGGTTTCCTTATACATCAGTCTTAAGGATCGAGGCTATTGGGTTTCCATCCTTTGGGCTTCTACTGTAGGGGTACCCTCGTAAAGATCCCAATACTTGGAGGATCATGGGACTTAGTAAGGTTATAAGTACCTTAATCCAGGATATAAGTAGTTATAAGTATAGTTGCCCTTGTTTATAACCTTACATAATATGTTACTAAGTCCCATGATCCTCCAAGTACCCCTGAATTAAGGAATATACCTTAAAATTATCGGTGGCTAAATATTATATGATCGAAGGTATATTCCTTCATGAAGGGGTATTGGGTTCTCTGGGCTTATGTTGGGATCCTTTAAGAGTTCCTTTAAACGGATCTATAACGGTTCTATAAAGGGTTTCGGGATTAGAGTTTCCGAAGATTAGGGGTACCTTATAATGGGGTCCTTGTAATAAGAATTCGACTATTTAGGGTACTATAAGAGGGCCCCCAATTTTCGGAAAGGCGCTGGATCCAACATTGGCAAAGATTGCATTTGCAGCTTCGATGTCGGCAGCCGTGTCCTGTCAACATGGGACATGCAGCCTTTGGGACTATCTAAACTTGAAAGCCTATCAAACAAACACAAACTACACTTGTCTACAGGCAAAAACACTATACTGAACTTAGAACCCTACAAGTAGCAAAATTATAATTTTAGCTGTTTCTTAGGGATTATAATAACCACAAATTACAAATTATTTCTAAGTACCCCTAAGAAAACTCTGAGATGCGGGGAGAAACCACGATCTTGCGTCGGTCATGGTTTTTCTTCGGGGACGAGCTTTTTGGATGACGAAGCCGGGGGCTTCGACTTCCAGCCAGATGGAAGTTTCCGAAAATAGGGGACCCTGATATAGTACCCTAAAAAGTAGGATCCTTATTATAAGGGTACGTTTCGGAGACTCCCACGACACGGAAACATGGCAAGCAGCACGCCCAGCCTCCTCTATGGAAACCTGCTGCGAAGTGAGATCTGGAGAAACTGCGATGGCTGCCACCAGCTGGTCCTCATCCTTCTCTTTGTAGCCGGTGTAAGCCTGGGCTTTGAAGTAACCAGGGAGAAACAAGGATCGACTTTTTTCTCATAATTGGTTCCCTTTAAGTAACAGGCCCCAAACAAGTATTGAAGTATGGTACTCCAAAGCCCGGAAGCAGGCTTTAGTTGCGCGACAATGTCGTAGGCCTCAAAGGACTGGTCCGGCCCAGCTGCACGGGCAAAGCTCACACCTCGCATCACCCCTAGCTCTTCAATGAGCAAGTTCAAAGGGACGTGCTTTCCACCAATCGTGTCCGTGTCAGGGAGTTTCATCATATCATCGAGTTTGGAAGATTCCTCAGCTCTGTCAAGGTCTGCGTCTTTCACCTGGATCTGATCCAAATATTCCTTTGCTCGCTTCATCTTCGCTGCAGCCGCTTTCTTTAACCGTTCGCTGCCGGATTGGGCTGCAGTTTTCATCGCTTCCATCGCTTCCGTGATTGCAATTTGCCCCTTCTCCAGTTTGTCCTGTCAGAATCCATAACCCTAAACCCTGAACCCTAAAAGAATCGCTCTTCTGAGGTCGATAGAGACCGGTTTGTCCACACGTACGAGACTGCGATGTCAGCTTGACAATTCACACAAGCATTATGGGTACCATAGGGGCCTTGATATCTAGAATGGGGTTCCTTCACAGGGATCTTTAAAGGGGTCTATGAGGAATCTATAGTAGGGTTCTATAATATAGGGGCCTTAGCTAAATAAGAACAGGGTTTGGGGGCCATTATACTATATATATATATATATATATATATATACTAAAAGTTATATTTGTATATATATATATATATATATATGTATATGTATATGTATATGTACATGTATATGTATATGTATATGTATACATATATATATATATATATATACATATGTTTTTGTACAGGGGCCTGAGTCTTTAGAATAGGGTTTTGGGGTATACTATACTATAATTGCAATAAGGAACCCCTCAGAATCGTATTGGTAGTTATTGAGGCCCCTATGGCAGGCACAGCCCAGGTACACGAGACCGCTCGATAAGAAAAGAAGGACGATGCTCACTCCATAGACCTTATCTTCTGTCTTGTGCTTAGTAGGGAGTGGGGGAATGGACCCGTATAGTAGTCCCAATATATTCCCAATAATAGTCTCGGTAACCCATTCTTTGATTCCCTACTAAGCCCTAAAGCCCTAAAGCCCTAAACCCTAAACCCCTAAACCCTAAGCCCCTAAACCCCAAACCCCTAAGCCCTATAGAAACCCTAAACCCCTAAACCCTAAGCCCCAAACCCCTAAGCCCTATAGAAACCCTAAACCCCTAAACCCTAAGCCCCTACACCCCAAACCCCTAAGCCCTGTAGAAACCCTAAACCCCTAAACCCTAAGCCCCTAAACCCCAAACCCCTATAGAAACCCTAAACCCTAAACCCCCAAGCCCCTAACCCCTAAGCCCTATATAAGCCCTACACCCTAAACCTTGGGTACGGCCCCCATACAGTAACAGTCTATAATAGGGCTACTATTAAGGGCCTTATATATCTATATTATGATCATTATCCAACTGTTACTGAGTGGGGGCCGTAGCCAACCTAAACCCCTAAACCCAAAATTTCTTGGCCCTAAGCCCAAAACCCCTAAGCCCTAAACCCCAAAACCCCCTTAAACCCCTAAACCCAGACCCCTAAGCCCCATATAAACCCCTAAACCCTAAACCCCAAAAAATCCCTTAATTAGAGGATTTGACCCTTGACACGGTAGGTTTTTGGATCCACAGGTAACCCCTAAAGCCCTAAACCCAAAATTTCACTCCAGAAAGTTGGAATATGGGTTAATGATAGGAACCCCGATAATTTACCTTAAACGGATTAGGATAATCATATTCCAGCTTTGCGGCTTCTACTTTAAGCCCCCCTAAAACCCTAAACCCTAAACCCCTAAACCCCATATAAACCCAACCCTAAACCCCCTTAAACCCCCTTAAACCCCTAAACCCCCAAACCCTAAACCCCTAAACCCTATATAAACCCAAAACCCTAAAGCCCTAAACCCCTAAACCCTATATATATATATATATATATACACATAAATATATACATATATATCTATGTATGTATATATATAAACCCAAAACCCTAAAACCCCTTAAGCCCCAACAAACCCAACATTTTTTGGGGGTCTCGGCTCGGCTCCTCGAGGCCCTCCTTCAGCTCCTTGCGATCCTCTCGCGCCCTCCTGGCCTGGGCTTCGATTTAGGGGATCCTTTAAAGGGATCCATAGGGGATCTATAGGGTTTAGGGTTCCTTTAAGGGGATCCTTTAGGGTTTAGGAGTTTAGGGTTCCTTTCAGGGGATCCTTTAGGGTTTAGGGTTTAGGGTTCCTTTAAAGGCTACTATAAGGGTTAAGGGGTACTATAAGGGTTCCTTTTTAGGGTACTATAAGGGTTCCTTTAAGGGTTCGTTTAGGGTTCAGGGTTTAGGGGTTTAAGGTTCAGGGGTTTAGGGGTTTAGGGTTCAAGGGTTTTGTCTTTTTCTAAGCTTTGAAGTAACCAGGGAGAAAAAAGTATAAACTTTTATTTCATAATGGTTCCATTAAGAGAAAAAGTATTAATTTATGGTACTCCAAAGCCCTCTTGGCCTCTTCGGGTTCCTGGAGTTTCTCAGATTTGTAGCTGCCTGGGTTGTGCTTTAAACCCTTGGAAAACTATTTGTGAATAGGTTCCCTTTATAAGGAAATAAGGGAAATTAAAAATTATCCCAAAGCACAACCCAGCTGCTCTTCGCCTCCTCGAATTTGGCGGCGAGCATTGGGGAAGCACCGGCTGGAAGAGTCGACTTGCGCACAGATTGAAGCTGGGATGCCTTGAAAATTCCTTGCTCTGCAATCTTCTTGCCAAACTCTCTTCTGTCCTCTGCACTGCTGAAGGGCAACTCATGAAGTGCCTGAACCAACTCTTTGTCGAAAGGCTTCTCCTTGGCTGCCGGAAGCTGCTCACTCTAGCTGTGCAACCGCTGTCTGCGAATCGGGTCACCCGTCCAATGCAATATCAGTGACTGACAGCTAAGACTAAGAGAACTTTTTAGTAAGTGGCACGGCAATGAACGTCGACAAGAGTCCTTCAGTGCTAATAAAGCCAGTCCCCCAAGCCCTGAACAAGAATCATGGATTGCGACTTATTTCAGAGGCCTAAATATACATATCTACCTGTACTGTTTTAGGTCTCCTTATTGTAAGTATAGGTTTAATATACCCCAAAACCTTATTCTCTTTATTAAGGCCCTAAATCATGCTTCACCCAGGCTCGTAGTCCAAACGAAAATGGATTTGCAAGTTCTGCTCTTCGTTTGAGAAGTCAGGCTCCTGCACTCTCGCAACACCTTGTTGCCACAAGTAGCAGCATCTGGACTCGCCAGCACTGCACGGGGTGCAGGTATCGTTCGCAGCAAGCAAACCTTCTTCCTTCAACAGCTCTTGAAGCAGGCTTTCTGCTTCTTTCTTGCTCGGGGCACCAATGGTTTCCTAGGCTGTTCAGTAACCCACTGGGAAAAAGTATATACTTTTTTAGGCTTCCTATTCTACAGCAAGGAACCCAGAAACCTGGAAGTAAAAGTTTACCAAACCCTAAACCCTAAACCCTAAACCCTAACTGAACAGCCTGGTTTCTAAGGAACCTCCTGCCCCAACCACCTGAATGTTGCGCTGCATCGAGGTGGTCGCAGTAGTCGGGGTAGGCTCAGCCGCCAGCTTTGCGGCCGTGGTCGTAGCCATCCTGCAGCCCATAAATTAGGAAATAAGGGGTACATTCAAAGGGATCCTTTAAGGGTTCCTCTAAAGGGATCTACAAGGGTTCTATAAAAGGTTTGGTATTTAGACCTTCCAAATATTAGGGGCACCTTGTATTTTGGGGTCCTTATAATAAGGATCATCCTGCTATTCAGGGTACTAGATTAGGGTCCCCCATTATCGGAAACTCCTGTAGCCCATGCCACAATGGCACAAGGTTGCAAACAGCGGCCAGCTGATGCGCGGCATGGTCGAGACCAGCATATGCAAGAATCAAGTTAACAAACTACGAAATTCAGTCACTGCTGTGAGCTGCGACTGGGCCGAAACGTGCGGCAGCTTGAGCTTCAAACCGTGACAACCTTCTTCCGTGCGAAGCACAAGTAAATGTGGATGATGGTGCATGAGGGAGGAGGAGGAGGAAGAGGAGGAGGAGGAGGAGCAGGAGCAGAAGCAAAAGGCAACAAAGCTGACGTGCGAAGGCGATTCATTCGAACAGGACGACGTTGACAAATGATATGGACAGCTGCGAGCGATGGCACACAACGCCTTGTAGTCATGATGATTGTGACGACGTGGGTGATGGTGACGATGCTGCTGCTGCTGGTGGCTATGAAGCACAACATGACTCTGAAGACATGATATGAAGACCGCCCGTCATTATATGTCATGATGATGCGATTCATGACAGGTTCTGTAGGATGCTGAGGCCATGAGGATGTCGAGGCGAAGGCTGCGGAGCATGGAGCTGAGGTGATGCAAAGTCGACTTGAAGCGCTTCGGAGGGGGGGGGGCTTTAGGGTGCAGGGTTGCGGCTTTAGGGTGCAGAGCTCAGGGTTCCCAGACCTTCCCAAATTCCTTTTTTTTTAAGGGAAAGTTCATATTAGGGCTCCTATTCTCACTTTCGGTATATTCCTGAATTCAGGGATTTTGGAAGGTCTGGGTTTAGGGTTCAGGGTAAATCACGCAGGTAGGGATTGCTAGCCTGTGCTTCCCCGTGGATGGCATCCTTTCAGTACCAAAGATGCTGAAACCTCAGCATCACAAGCTAATCCAGGCCTCAGCCCACGAATACAACTATATAGTATAATATAATGGAAAAGAATATGATACTCCGTTATACTGTATTATATTACATCTTACTATAAACAATATAACAGAATATAGTATAATAGCAAATATGATACTATATTCTATTGTATCATATTACATCATTCTTACACTACAGAATATCACATCTCTTCCCATAGGCTCCATGGTAGCTCCTCGTTGAGATTACCTTATAGTATATTGTACCAGCTGACATCATATACTAGAATGTATGATACTCGAATATAGTATCATATATTTCTTTGTATAATAAAAGACTGACTTATATGGTGCCATTTTACATCATAGGATATTACTTGGAGGGTCGGGGGACTTAGTAACTGGTTACTTTAGAGACTTATACGTACCATAACCCCAATTAGGGTCCCTTTTAGGGTACTTATAAGTCTACTTACTACCTACTTACTAAGTCCCCCGACCCTCCAAGTACAGGATTCCACATCTCTGGTCCCCGCTGGAGGCCTTGGATCCGACGTGTGAGGACGTTCCGCGGCACCGCCGCCCTTGCCTGAGTTCTTCTGATATCTCCCATTATGGTAACTTAAATCAAATAAACCCTATACCCCTCAACCCCTAAATACTAAACCCTAAACCCCTGAACCTTAAACCCCAAAACCCTGAACCCCTAAACCCAAAAAAGATCCCTTAAAGGAACCCTTATAATAGCCTTTAAACGAACCCTTGTAGTAGGAGTGTGGCGCGTACACGCGCGTGTAGTTTTTGCAGGTTTTTGCATGTTTTGCGGCTTCGGGGGGTGGGGGGGGTGGGGGGGGTGGGGGGGGGGCTTAATGACGAACCTGTTCTACTCTTAGCAGTTCTACTACTGCTGATGCCTGCTGCTTTTTAGTGCTTTGTGTTCAGACTAGCTCTACTACTGCTGATGCCTGCTGCCCTTTAGTGCTTTGTGTTCAGACTAGCTCTACTACTGCTGATGCCTGCTGCCCTTTAGTGCTTTGTGTTCAGACTAGCTCTACTACTGCTGATGCCTGCTGCCCTTTAGTGCTTCGTGTTCAGACTACTACTGCTGCGGCCTCCTGCGCTCTGGCCCGAAGATTGGTCTCAGAAGGGTCGCCGAGCATGTTCCAGTCCGTAACAACTACTTGCGACCAAGTACTCAAACAGCCTGCCCCCCAATGTAGGAAAAAAAGCCTGATCTCTTGAAAACCCACCCCTGCCGATGTATTCTGCACTTCCATCGCCCAGTTCAATGCGAGCAAGTAGTCAAATAGCCTCCCCCCCCTCAAATAGGCATGCGTTGCCCGGAATGCTGAAAACCCACCCCTGCCGATGTTTTCTGCAAGTCCATGACCGTTTTCAATACAAGCAAGTAGGCAAATAGGCTCCCTCCTAAAATAGGCATGCCTTGACCGACATGCTCAAAACCCGCCCCTGCCGATGTTTTCTGCACGTCCGTCGATGAGAACATGCCTTTTGTACCACGCGCGGGAAGGCGCCACGAACCTTGTAGTACCCCTTAAAGGAACCCTTATAGTACCCCTTAAAGGAACCCTATAGTACCCTTTAAAGAAACCCTTCTAGTACCCTTTAAAGGAAGAAGAGCCCAGTTGCGGGACTCCCAGGTCGCCAAGCCCAGCGCAGCCCAGGTCCTCTGCAGGGCGGCAACGAACCCAGAGAGCCCAATATCCCTTAATTAAGGAATATACCTTAAATCATATTAGTGATCCTATTATAATTTAAGGTAGATTCCTTAATTAAGGGATTTTGGAAGGTCTGGAGGGGTTACAGCCTTTGCTTGGAGGCCAATTTTGACTTAGTAAGTAGGGTTAGTAAGGTGGGTTATGGGGATTATAATAGGGTTTCTAGGGGATACTAAGTAGACTTACTAAGTCAAAAGGGCCCCCAAGTAGGGTTCCTTAAAAAGGCACCTTAAAGGGATCTATAAGGGTTCTAGCAGGGAATTAAGGAATATGGCTTAAATTATACCCCTTAAATAAGGGATCTAAAGGGGATCTATAGGGGTTAGGGGTACCTTATTTTGGGGTCCTTATAATAAGGATCCTACTATTTAGGGTACTGTATTAGAGTCCCCAGAGAGCCCAATACCCCCCCTTAACTAAGGAATATACCGAGGGTTCGTTTGAAAGGGATCTAAACAGGATCTATAAGTCTAACAAGGAATTTATAGGGATTAGGGTTTCCGATACCCCTTAATTAAGGAATATAGCTTGAATCATAATATGAAGCCCCTTACACTGCAAGCCGCCATATTCCTTAGTTAAGGGATATTGGGCTCTCTGGGAAAACGACAACATCAGGGGATTAGGGTTTCTTTAAAGGATACTATAAGGGTTCGCTTAAGGGATCGATAGGTGGTTTGAGGTATGGGATTTCGGTCTAGGGTTTGGGGTTTAGGGCGTAGGGTATGGGTTTAGGGTTTAGCGCTTAGGGTTTGGGGTTGAGGGTTTAGGGTTTGGGGTTCACGGTTACGCAGACAGACACAGACACAAACGCACTTGGACGTCAGTCTTCCTTGCTTAGATGGATGTTGTTTGTGCTGGACTGTTACTGTTCTCAACATTTCCAAGGGCAAAAGGAGGGACCCTTGATAAGGACCCCTAGGCATATACCCTTAACATAGCCATTATATAGCCCATTATAGGGTAGGGGTCCCCATTAAGGGTCCCTCCTTTTCCCCTAAACCCCCTAAACCCTATACCCTGATAGAATCCCTATAGATCCCTTTAAGGGATCCCCATTAAGGGTCCCTCCTTTTCCCCTTAGAGATTAGAGATGATTTGTGATTCACGGTTCGAGCCCCCAAGCTGCCACACAGTGTCCCATGAGCGACTCATTCACAAAGGTACACAAACTGGGGTGCTGCACCCATCTCTCATTAGGGACCCAAAAAAGCACATAAGCAAAAATAAGAATAGGGATATCCCGCATAAACCCCCTCCTCATGAAGCCCAAGAAGGTAGGGTATCACTATAAAATGCTTATGCTTATGTCCTTTCTGGGGTCCCATCTCACGGCTTCCCATCGCTCACGGCCTCCTGCCTCGTCTTCACAAATTCGTCCTAAACCCCTAAGCCCCAAACCCCTAAGCCCTAAACCCCTCAACCCCTGACTCCTAAACCCCTAAACCCCTAAACCCTAAAACCCCAAAACCTCTAACCCGTTCGTCCCGCACGCAGGGCCACAACCAGGGCTTGGGTCTGGCGCCGAGATTATGGGACCTAGCAAGCAAGGTTTTTTTAGAAGGGCTCCTTAAAGGGATCTATAAGACTCCTTAACAGGATCTACAGGGCTCCTTAAAGGGATCTGTAGGGTTTAGGGTGAAGGGTCCACTTGGAGGATTATGGGACTTAGCAAGTGAGGTTGCAAGTTATAAGCACGTTAGGGTGATAACCAATTATAACTGTAGTTACCTATTTGTAACCTTACTTACTGGTCCTATGATCCTCCAAGTGGGGATCTTTGGGGCCTGGGTACCCAGAGGCTCCAATATCCCCACATTAAGGATGATACCTTAAAATTATAGTAGGATCCCTATTATGATTTCAGGAATATCCTTTAACAAAGGGATATTGGAGTCTCCGGGTAGTTGCCCATCTCGGCAAGCCTCGCGTCGCGCGGAGAGATTGCGGGTAGTTGCCATCCACAAGTAGCGGCCCCCCCCTCCTCCTTGCCAGTGCCCCGGAGAGGTTGCATGTTCGGCGGCCGTGGATGGGTCTAACAGAAGTGTCCAAGCAACCCTGGTTTCGACTCTGAAAACAGCTTGCTGGGACGTTTGTGCTGCGAGTAGGCTGTTACTGTTCTCAACATTGATGTTAATGTTTTGTGCCCCCCAAGTATCTGTACACATTTGCGGGTACACGGAATGGCGTCCGTTTGTGCTTGCACCACATCTCTCGCACTAGCTCCGTTGGACAACATCGAGAGATGCCCCTGCGTGCACACAGACCATGTATCAAATACTACGTTCTTGGAGACAGCACCTTCACTCACACTCTCTCACACACACAGTGCTTCGTGTTGCTGCCTCTTGTCGAGGGAGTCCACATGTCGGTCTTACTCGGTGGCTTCAGTGGCAGCAAGCCTGAAACCTCGATGTGACAGTCCTGCATGGAGTGTTGTGTGCCATCCCACCGTAGCTGCGTGAGGCACCTGGCAGCCAATCTTAGCTGCGCACTGCAAGATGGAGAGAGATCTCTTTATATCTGTAGCTACATATAAATATGCGCACCCACACATACACATACATACCTACCTACCGACCTACCTAGATTCATATATGTACGTACTACGGTCCTCTCTAAGGATCCGAGAGGGCTTCGCAAACATTCTTCAATCATGGCCGACCTTCTCCAGCTCCAATCCGGCCCAGAGCCGGCAGAATCTGTCCCAAGTATTCCTAGACTCATAGGGACCCTTCGGGGGTAGGGGGAGGGGAGTAGGGGGCCTTGATGCCCATATTCAGGACCTAATAAGGCCGAGTGTTTCATATAGGAGTTTCCCAATATTCCTAAACCCTAAACCCTGCTCGGCCCTAAGGTCTTCTTGACCCCTAAACCCGCTTAACCCCTAATGTAGCAGCCCTTGAAAGTTGGAAACCCAGTAGCCGCAATCCTTAAGAGCAATGTATAGGGAATCCCACCACTATTTGGCCTGAGACCGGTTTCCAACCTTATGGGGTTCACTGTGAAAATCCCCTTAGAAGCCTCAGTGTCTCATCATACCATCATAGGGACCCTTAGGGGGGTAGAGGGAGAGGGGGTAGGGATAAGGACCTGCCAAGCCCTACTCGAAGAAGTATAGTCCCCACCCCCCCTCCCCAAAAAACTCCCTAAGGGTCCCTATGATTCATCATAATTTTGACAACCACCATTTCTAATTGTGGAAGTTTTCACTATACCCCCCTTAAAACCATAATGAACAAATATCTTTACTGTCCTCTTGGGTTTTATATGAACAAAAATCAAACATAATTCCTAAGGAGACTGTAGTTCATACCATTTCTGCTCATGCCTTGAGGCCCAGGAGGTAGGAGATGTCCACGGAAAGCCGCGCCCAGGCGGCCGTGCAAAAGTGGTGCTTGCTGCTCTGGATGCTTTCCTTGCGACCCAAAGGGATTTAGGGTGTTTAGGGGTTTAAGGGTTTAGGGGTTTAGGGTTTAGGGGTTTAGGGTTTAGGGGTTTAGGGTTTAGGGGTTTAAGGGTAAAGGATGCTTTCCTTGCGACCAAAAGGGATCACAAAGGGGTTTATGGTTATGCCCACCATAAGGACTGATGAAGGGTTTAGGGTTTAGGATGCCCACTATAAGGATTCATGAAGGGTTTAGGGTTTAGGATGCCCACTATGAGGGCTCATAAGGGTCTAAGGGTTTAGGATGCTTTCCTTGCCACTAGAAGGGCTCGTTTAGGTTTCCTTGCTGCCACCATAACGACTCATGAGGGGCTTGCCAAGGGTTTAGAGTGCTGCCCTTACTTGGAGGCCCTGTTGACTTAGTAAGTCTACTTAGTATCCCCTAGAAACCCTATTATAATCCCCATAACCCACCTTGCTAACCCTACTTACTAAGTCAAAAGGGCCTCCAAGTACTGCTAGCTTAGACATCAGTCAGCAGGCCTGACGAAAGCCTGTAGTTTTGCCTCTCGTGCCCCTGGCACAAGAGACTACACGAATAAGTGGCGCAGTGGCTGCAGAAGGATTCTGACATTCACTTGCCAGTGACATGATGACGATAGCCTTACAATTCCTGCATCTCTAAATCGTACCCTTGCAGTATCCCCTCTAGAATTGAGCCCTGGCAACAAAACCCTTCTCAATAAACCTGGACTGAAGGGTCCGCGAGTGCCTGAAACCCTTTGCAGCGACCCTTATAACAACGCTTGCAGACAGCCTACAGCCCTACAACAAAACCTCTTCGAACTGTTGCAGGAGCCTTCCAAATGCCACAAGCCCCTTTCACAACCGCACACAAAGCACCGTACAACCCTCCAAAACAAAACAATGTGGCAGAGTGACGCCACCGGCGCGGGCAGCTTCAGCAACGAGTGAAACATGCCACTCCTCGAACCGGGAGATACTCAGAAAGAGATTTCCCAAAAGGGCCCTATAGGTTTGACAGAGTCTTGAAGGGTTTTCTCGGACATTTGGGAGGGATTCAACACAGTTGAGAGCGTGTTCCTCAGTTCAGGGGTATTGGGCTCCAACACGACATACAGAGCCCACATTGCCTCTGACTCTCAAGCATATTCCATCACTGAATGCTGGACGAAATGGGCAAGCCGCATCAAATCTGCATCCATGGCACACCAGGAATATGGTCGAGTTACAAGGCGAATGTAGGGACTGCAATCGTACTTCATAGTTGCACCAACTTCTTGGGACCCTATACCCGGAACAGTTTACCCTACTCCAAGCGTGGAAAAGTTTAGGGAAAACCGGGGCACATCCAGATGAAACACCTCTCGACCCCATGACTTCACTGCACCGAATGTGTCTCAGCCAGACCCACACAGCACTCTGATAGCCTGGCAGAAGAGTGCCCGAAACTACAAACCCTAAACCCTCAACCCTGAAACCTTAAAACCCCAAACCCTAAACCCTCAACCCTCAACCCTAAACCCCTAAAACCCTAAACCCTATACCCTAAACGCGAAACCCCTAAACCCTAAACTCCCTAAAACCCTAAACTCCAAACCCCTAAACCCTGAACCAAAGGCCGGAGTCATCAACAACTCTTCGCCTCCCCTGGGGTCCCTTATAGGCCAGAAATGGGAGTTTCTGAAAATTGGGGGCACCTTATTTTTGGGGTCCTTATAATAGTAGTTGCTGTAAGGGTACTATAAGGGTTCGTTTAAAGTGCTCTGTAAGGGATTAGAGTTTCCGAAAATTAGGGGCACCTTATTTTGGGGGTCCTTACAACAAGCATCCTACTATTTGGGGTACCATATTAGGGTCCCTTAGTTTCGGAAACCCCCCCCATATATAACGAAACTACACTTACTCCCCACCGCACTGCTCGAACTCGTCAGGCCCATCAGAAACACAAGATTCACCTAGCGGCCCAAAACAGCACATAAGCAAAACTTTGGATAGGGATATCCCATATAAGCCCCCTTATAAAGAACCCCAGTAAGGTAGGGATATCCCTATGAAATGATTCACCCGTGATATGCTGGGAGTGAGGATTAGGGGGACCCTTTAAGGGGATATAGACCCTCTCAATAAGGCCCCTTTTAAGAGAGCCAGAAGTAGGGTTCAGAAGGGATACCCTTTAAGGGGTCTCCCTAATAAGACTACCTATATGCCACCCAGCTTCTGGAGGGGTGTGTTCGCCAACCAGCCAGTTCACCATGTAGTGAAACACGGGCCTCGGATTGAGGCCCTATTGGGCCCGAGGCTCGCACTAGCAATCGGGTTCAGGTATGCTTTACGCTTATCTTTTTTGGAATGCCTTTCTCCCCTCGCAGTTAAGGTCAGCGGAATCCACCAGTTGTGGAAGGCTACGGTTAGACCCTGCGTCACGCAAGGCCACCCTTGAGGTTCTGTGTCTCCCAATGCTCGGTTTGGTTTGTAGGGTTTAGGGATGCACATTGCGTGCTTCGCCGGGCGGCTGTTGTGACAGCTGCTGCAGCATCCAGCAGAGCGGCCAAATGCCAGTGCATACCCACGCGCTGGCCTCCGCTCCACGTCGCAAGCTCAGAACTCTGATAAACACTAAAATACCAAAATGTGCATAGAGGGATGGTATAAAAACCCTCAATGATAAACAATAAACTTGTCTTTTATCGCCTGCACGGGACTTTAGTGTTCAATCTGAATGCTCTCTGCCTCTAGGAGTGCTGGTTCCGCTGCCACGGCCCGACGCAGTTCTGGCCACACAGCTGGCGAGGGCTCCGTCGCGGCGAGGCCCTGGCGACAAGCTGTCCGGTCGGCACAATCATAATCGCACTCAGATAGCCAGTAGCTTTGAAAGTGGGTTTCAATAGCTGCTTTGGTTCTGAACCTTCCGAAACACTCTGTATGGCGGGTCTCTAAATTATGCGACGCACCGTTGATTCGCATTCAACCGGCCTGTCGAACACTTTCGTCAAACATCCACTGTCGAAAGACATCCTGCAAGGCGTCCTGCACAAAGAGCAGAGCCATTCAGTAGAGGCCGGTAGTTTGGGAAGGTTGAGGTGTTTTGAATTTTTGGGGTTTAGGGGTGTGGGGTTTAGGGTAGGCTCTCTCACAATGGAACACTGCCATCCCTCTGTGGTAGATGCGCGTTCAGTTCAGATACCTCGGTACTGGCAAGTAAATTCGTGCTAGCATGTACTTCTCTGACTTCGAATCGTCTTCAGGGTCCTTTGCTGAAAGAGAGACGTACTCACTTGGGCACCCCGCCTGCACCAGGCCCGTAAGTTGGGCAACAGTCGAAAGACAGTATAGGGGCCTGAAGAACTCTAATGGGTTTTGGGGTTCCTTATTATTGTAGTTATAGTATAAAATACCCCCAAACCCTACTCTAGGGATCCCTTCCTACTTGGAGGATCATTGGACTTAGTAAGTGAGGTTATGAATAAGGTAACTATACTTATAACTACTTATAATCCCAATTAAGGCACTTATAACCTTACTTGCTTAGTCCCATGATCCTCCAAGTAGGGATCCCAACCTCGAGAATTGCCCCCCACCGCAAACGCAGGGTTCCGACGTGTCCCTCCCTTGTCTTTGGTTAGTAGGGAATGGAAGAATGGTAGTAGTAATAGTTATAATTGTACCCCATTCCTCCATTCCCTACTAACCAAAAGTAAGTTATCGGATTATTAAGGCCCCTATATTATAGAACCCTTACTTGGAGGCCCTTTTGACTTAGTAAGTCTACTTAGTATCCCCTAGAAACCCCATTATAATCCCCATAACCCACCTTACTAACCCTACTTACTAAGTCAAAAGGGCCTCCAAGTATAGATCCCTTATAGTAGCCCTATAAGGCTCCTTTCATTCCCTACTAACCAAAGGTAAGCTCCTGGTCGCAGCGGCCCAGCAGCTCACAGGAGTAGTACTGGCCGACGAAGTGGATCTGAAGCCTGGGATCCGCTAACCGGATTTTTTCGGTATATCGTACTATAAAGATAACAAGGGGGCGCCACAACTGGTATAGATAAGTATTAAGGCCCCTATATTAAGGCCAGCAAAACCCTAAGCGTTAAGCCTCGAAACGCTAAGCCCGAATTTGTAGACGTAGACTGGAGCCCTACTTTCCAACATCCCCCGGTGCGCAGCACTGAGATGTCAGAAAATCCACAGCTTTGCTGACAGCTGCTATCGATCTACCTGCCCACCTACAATATCTACCTGTTCAGCTGCCTACCTACCTACCTACCTACCTACCACCTACCTTCCTACCTACCCACCTACCCACCCGTCTACCTGTCTACCTATACCTACTCCTTCTACCTACCCACCTATTTCTCTCTCTATCTATGCTGAGGCGAACGGCTCAAAGCATTTCGTCAACGGATAGTTGTGCCCAGAGACTCCAATATCCCTTCATTAAGGAGTATTCCTACAATCAAATTAGGGATCCTATTATGATTTAAGGTATGTTCCCTAATTAAGCGATATTGGAGTCTCTGGGTGTGTGCCCGTGCTACCCAAGATGAAGGCTACGTGGAAATTTCAGCCAGCGCAATTGTTGGATCTCAGGGATGAAATGGGGCTATGTGGCACCATCTTCCGATAATCCGTAAATCTCCAAAAAAAACCTATAATGTAAGGGGTTGAATACTCATATCCCGTTATAGTCCCTGTACAATTATACTACGATTAACCTCAAGCACCTACATGAAACCCTTGTAGTATCCCTTATAGAAAGAAGCGTTTGAACTGAATCCTCGAAGCAACTCTTTGTTCCAACTCTGACGGCCCCTATCATACAAAAACCCACAAGTGTCCATACACAACCCTTGTAGTATCCCTTCTAGACAACCCAAAACCATTGAACATGAATCCTTGTAAGAACTCTATTCTAACTCTTAAGGCCCCCCCCCTACAATACAAGTAGTTCATGGTTGGGATAGAATTAAAAATTTCAATTTGTATTCCTTATTGGGTTTATTAAGTACCCATAAATTTTAATTTTTATTCCTTATTGGGTTTAAATACCCATAAAAAATGTAACATGTAACCCAACTATGACAAAGACAAAAGCTCTGCACGGCCACTTCTCCTCCTCGGCGAGCTCGGCGAGGGCGGCTGCCATGACCATGGCTGGCTCCTCGGCAGGAACTTCGCTCGAAAATTCCCCAGGGAGCCCAATGCCCCTTACTTAATGAATATATCTAGGGTTCCTTTAAAAGGGGTCTAAAAGGGATCTATAAGGGATCTGTAGGGATTAGGGTTTCCGATACTCTTTAAATAAGGAATATAGCTCATGGACAACCAACCTCACAACAAGATCGGGAATCGGGTCGGCAATCGGATCGGATCGATCGAACCGCCGTCGGAGTTGAACCATGGAGCTGTGCCTATAGAGCCAGGCGCTTGTGCGCTTCGCTAAATAAATCTGGGGTCAAACCGCTGCCAAGCAGAGCTGGAAGAGGGAAAAGGCGGGGGAGAGGAGGAAAGGGTGGGCGCCCCACCTCCTACGCAGCGAAATGCAAAGCCAGCAGCGTAGAGCAGGGTGAAGCACGGTAGGGAAGTAGCACGGGAAGGGCAACCCCCTGAAAGCACAAAGAACAATCAGTGTTCGGGCGCTCTGGAAAAGGCGTCAACCCCGTTCGAGGTTTGAAACAATTAGGAGAAAAACCCAAAAAACATTATGTCGTGGTCCAGCATAACTCAGTGGTATTTTGTCCGGCTGTCAGTTTGGTTTCAAAATCCTGCGGGCTCGAACCCCCCTGGTGTCATTTGCTGAAGGCTGAAGGCATCACGACTGGTGTCATTTGCTGAAGGCTGAAGGCTTCACGACTTGAGGAATCGCGAAGCCTCGAGCAAATGACACCGGGGGGAATCGAGCCAAGACACCCCCACGGATGTGACTGCAGAGCACAATCTGTACCACTGAGCTATGGCGGTGTTTTAGAAAATGGTTTTGAATGCGATCAATGCGGGGATCCGAAGGTTGGAGTCGGGTTTGCCAGACCTTGACCTTGTGATCTATCCCCATCAAAAAATCCCATTTCAGGACAGATTGCAAACTCGTTGAGGACATCAGTGCCTGCTGGCACTAGTGCCATGCCTGTGGACATTGCATATCTCTACCCAACAGGGTTTTGGGTAATTCTGCAGATGCTAATTAGATCCCACTCTCGGGCCTTTGGAAGCCTGAAACTTCGAAACCCCACGGGGTCAATTGAGTTTCTTGACTCCTTAAGTGCCAAGCTCAAGTTGGGCTGACGGTTAAGCCTTTGTGCAGAGACCCTTGGTGGCTGGGTTCCGTCCCCAGATCGGTAAACCGCATCGAATCGCTGGAAATCGGGTCGGATAGATCGATGTCGATCGGGTCGGGTCGGGCAGGGCATGTAGCTTAAACCTTAATATGAGGGGTATTGGGCTCTCTGGGTCAGGGTCTACCCAGAGAGCACAATACCCCTGCATTAAGGAATAAGGATCGCCTAAATCATAACATTATGAAGCCCCGTATAACTTTTTTAAGGTATATTCCTTGATTAAGGTGTTGTGGGCTTTCTGGGTAGGGCTCTGAAATGCTCTGAAGCTCTGAGGTTTCCTTTGGGTTTTCGTATGTTCTGCAGGGTCGAATGAGGATGTTCGGTAGGGCATTGTGCAGGAATTTTCAGGGCCGGGGTTGCGTAAAGTTTTATGCCGTGTGCAAGGGACACCCTAAGTTCGGGAACGACCATGAGCTGTGTAGAGCTTCCGACGTTGGATCGGAGTCTTGTTGCTGAGGGCTCTGTGGGTCAGTTGGGTTGTGCCCGAATCTGCAGCTGACGGATGCGAGTGAAGTCTACATCACACTTGGGACTAGGGGTTGCGCTTATAAGCTTCTGTTTTCGGAACAGCACCGGCCACGAGAAGGGGTTTACACTGCAGGTAAGCATGGCGAAGCATAATCGTGTGAAGTGTCTCTCTAAAGTAAGAATGATGTCCACTTATGGTATATACAGAGGTACACCGAATATACTTCCAAAATCCTAGTCTAGGCTAGTCAGGCCCGCTCAAATTCGCTTCCAAACGAGCCCTGCTCTCCCCCGAAATCCTGAAGGCCACTGGTTGAAGCGAGCTGCCAGTGACATTCCCGCATGGTGTCCAACCACAGCCAGGCGAAACACCGGTGGCTCCTAGCGCTTTCAGCATATTATTCTCTGTCATGTGAGATTATTGAGGTTACTTCATACTAAATTAGAAAACATGTGCATTATATTATGTTATGATATCAAACATGAAATTAAGACTACATTTCATTCATATACATATATATATATATATATATACATATATACACATGATGCAGGGCTGCTGCACCCCGTCCCACACCCGCGCCCCATGATATCCACCCCTTGCCTGTCAAGTGGGTAGTCTTCTTGCTTGGCATTGTTGCTTTCCCCGTCTTCCTGGCCGGTCTTTTTTCGCCTTGTCCCCTCCCCCCGCCTATGTAATCGTTACGTGCTCGTTACCATACTAGAAAACTTGATGTTGCCCTTCTATCCAGGTCCTTGCAGATGGTGCCCCGGTCCCTGGTCTGATGCGGTTCTCCGCTCTTTGAGGAAGCACTAGCTGGGATCATTCTGCATCCTCCTCGCTCTGGGTTCCGGTTGTGCGCTGGGAAGGGGGGGGGGACCCGGGACCAGGGCGAGGGGGGGGGTGTGTAAAGGCCCTAAACCCTCCCCATCCCCCTTACCCTCCTAAGGGCCCATGTGGGAGCTTCCGAAAATTAAGCGTACCTTATTTTGGGGTCCTTATAACAGGAATCCTTTTTAGGGTACTATGCTAGGGTCCCTCATTTCGGAAACTCCCCTATGAATCCTACCTAGCCTCTGTACAGCATTGGATGAAGGGGACAGCAGTCGGGAGAGCTCCTCTCTTCCATTGATAGGCGCCCTTAACGTGTGAGAGTTTAGGGCTTGAGGCTTACGGGTTTAGGGGTTTAGAGTGTAGGGGTTTAGGGTAGGTAGGATTCATAATAGGGGCCCTTCGGAGGGTAAGGGTAAGGGTAAGGGTGAGGGTGTAGGGCTTAGGGCCAACACTGCAGTAAGTAGGCCTTCTTAGACCCCTCACGTTCCCCTATAGATCCCTTAAAGGAGTCCTTAAAGGAACCCTTAAGGGAACCCTATAGATCCACTTGGGGTCCCTATGAATTTAGCTCACACTACGGAAAGCGTCTACGTATATACATATATCCATACATAAACTCATTGTGCTTATATATTTATATAACTGTATGTACACACACACACATATACATATAAACACATACATAGGTTTTGTAAGTAATGTACAGATCTTACAGAACCCAAACCCTGAACTGCGTCCTGGGCAGTCTGGATCATCTTGGAAGCCTGGCAGGAGGTCCCTATATCCCTCACGTTGGACCTTTTTATCCGGAAGAATCATACTTATATCTTAGGTTTTAGGGTATTGGGGTATTAGGGGAAAAGGTATAGAGGTTGAGGTTTAAGGTTAGGGTTTACGGTTTAGGTATGGTCCATATTTTCCCCTTTAGAGGTTTAGGGTTGGGTTTAGGGTTTGGGTATGGTCCACATTTTCCCCCTCTATATCCTCCATTGATAGGACCCCTATATCCTGAAGCAAGGTATGGCATTTCAATGTCTTGCACTAGCATGTCAAACATAAAACAAACCGAGGGTCCGTGTACTCATATAGCATATAATGTAGCCTTAAAGTAGTCCCTTCTTAGGTACTTTGGGGACTATTTGGCCACATGGAACCTTAGGGAAAGACCCAGGAAGGGCTCAGTGCTCTTATCTCCCTGATTCTGAGCAGGGAATCGGGGAATGGGTCACAGGGACTACTAAATGAGAGTTTCCGAAAATTTAGGGTACCTGATTCTAGGGTCCTTGTAATAAGGATCCTACTATTTAGGGTACTAATATTAGGGTCCCCTGTTTTCGGAAACCCCCATGTATAGGACTATCACAGGGATCCATTCCCCCATTCCCTGCTGAGCACCGGGGCCACTGCCTGCGGTAGTGGCTGCCAAGCCCAGGGCTCCAGGTCCACCGGAGATAGCATCGCCTGCTCTGATCACAAGTACTGGGACCTTTCTTAGGGTTTGGGTTCCCTGATAACCCCATCATTCCCAGTAATAGTCTCCAACATCCATTCTCCCTTTCCCTACTAAGAACCATACAGTTGTCACAAGTATACGCTACATGTCCATTTCAACTTCAACAGTCCCCGAAATTATGTATAAAAGGACGCTCAATCGAACACTAACGGAAATCAACGAATATCCCAAGTCGATGCCTAGTACAGGGGCCTTCATAATTAGATTCTAGGGCTTTGGGGTATATCCTAGCATAAACACGCATAATGAGGAACCCTACAGTAGGGAATACTATTTGGGCTTCTGTACTTCTTCAGCTTGAGGGCTTCAGGGCATCTCTGCCTAGGAATAAAAAGGGTGCCCTTTCTGGTTTAAAGGGGCTTATAAGGGAACCTGAACCCCAAAAAAGGGAATAAGGGCCTACTCTGGGTCCTAGGTTCTTGAAGTTTCAGGCACCCTGAGGTCTGCGGCGGTTTTCAGGTCTCGGATCGTCAGGCAGTTGGATTTGTGTCTTCCCGCGCTCTCTCTCTCTCTCTCTCTCTCTCTCTCTCTTTGCTTGCCTTGGGGTGTAACTCTCTCTCTCTCTCTCTCTGTGTTGCTGTTTAACAGTATTCAGTAGATCACCTTTGCGTAGTTATATAGTGTGTGTATATAGATATGTAGTTATATACATAACACATTCTGTAATGTAAGATGGAGACAGAATGCACCGGCCTTTGGTGGCTCGAGACCGAGGTTAGCGGAAGACCTGAAGCAAAAGGCGAGTCGGGCGGGTTGGGAGAACAGCTTCCCAGAAACTCCACTTGTGTCACACGTATCTCATGCTTTAGGGAAATGCCAGAGAAAAACGACTCTTTCAGGAAAGTCGGAGTGTCTGCGTTCGGAACTGGCGCGTGGTTTTGGAGCGCCGTTAGTAAAGATTGTTGGGAAGATCCCTATATCTCGGACCCAAAACGAAGTACTAGTCTTAAGAACGACGTAGTAGGCGGTTGTATCTGTGCTTGTACGTACACACTGTGACTACGACCTGAGAGTAGGAAATGCAGACGAGGCTACAAGATTTATACAAGTATCTCAATACAAGTATATGCTTAGAACTTCAAAAGCACTAGGTTCCCCGGTAATATAGGGTTTGTTTCATTAGAATAGGGCTTTGGGGCGCATTATACTATAGTTATACTAAGGAACCCCCAAAATAGTCTAGGTAATTATTAAGGCCCCTATACTAAATCCTTATAGTAATGTGAGTACCCTACTTAGAGGATCATGGGACTTAGTAAGTAAGGTTGTGCGTGCCTTAATTGGGGTTATAAGTACTTATAAGTATAGTTACCTTATTCATAACCCCACTTACAAAGTCCCATGATCCTTCAAGTAGCCCCTAAACCCTAAACCCTATAGATCCCTTTACGGAGCCCCTATAGATCCCTTTAAGGATCCCTTTAAGGATCCCTCTAAGGAACCCTTATAGAACTTACAAAGTCCCATGATCCTTTAAGCAAACCCCTAAACCCCAAACCCTATAGAACCCTTTAAGGAACCCCCATAGGTCCCTTTAAGGAGCCCTTTAAAGGAACCCCAGTTACAAAGTCCCATGATCCTTCAAGTACGGTGAGGTCCCTGAGGCACCCGGCAGGTTCCAGGGTGAGCTTTCCAGAAGCAGCTCCAGAGACCTCAAATAGGGCCCCAAAAAAAGCACATAAGCAAAACTTAGGATAGGGATGTCCCATATAAACCCCCTTTAAAAGGAAGCCTATAAGGTAGGGATATCCCCACAAAATGCTTATGCTTATGTGCCTTTTTGGTTCCCTATCAAAGGGAGGCTCAGGAGGGGGTTAGGGTTTTAGGGCTTGAGGGGTTTAGGGGTTGAGGGTTTTAGGGTTTTAGGGGTTTGGGGGTGTAGGGTTTTAGGGGTTTAGGGTGTTGGGGCTTTAGGGGTTTAGGGTTTTAGGGGTTTGCAAAGATAGCGGCTGCAGACTCGGAGGTTGGCTATGCGGGATACTGCGGACAAAGTTACTAGAAGGGGTTCCACTCAAGACGCACAAGTGACATGCAAGTCGACACGGGATTGTTTGCGTGTAGGTGGGAGGCAGAACACAGCAACACCAAAACCAAACAGGAAAGTTAGCACCTCGGGGGGGGGTTCGGGGATCGGGGTGGAGGGAGTAAGGATATAGGTCTAATAGGGGGTTTAGGATTTGTGTCGGCAGTCTTTGTTTGGGCACTTGCCGCAGACCATGGCATAGCGACCCCGAAGCACCGAACGCCGGCCATTGCCTAGATCTTCCAATCGGCCCTCAACGGGGCTTTATGCGGGTTATCTGCGGTGATACTTAAAGGATCATGGGACTTAGTAAGTGGGGTAAAAATAAGGTAACTATACTTATAAGTACTTATAACCCCAATTAAGGCACTTATAACCTTACTTACTAAGTCCCATGATCCTCCAAGTGAGGATTCTCGCACTTCCAGATCTTCGCCTAGATCCTTCTTGAGGAATGTCCTACTTGGAGGTTCAGGGGACGTAGTAAGTAGGGTTTATAAGTGGGGTTATAATTGGGGTAACTCCATTTAGGGTACTTATACCGCTATGACCCTATGTATAACCTACTTACTAAGTCCCTGGGCCTCTAAGTAAGTTACAACAGCTTCCCGAGTATGATGTCAGGAGTACTCCTTTACTAAGGTATGTTGTGAAGCTGTTTTCACGGGAACCCATGGACAACACACATCACGTGTAACTTGCTTGCTATGTCCCCGAATCCGAAACCTTCCAAAAAGATCGAATTCAAAGCTGTACTTACAGTGCAAGCGCATATTGGAAAATCGAAGAATCCAGCGCTTCGAGGGCATTATGCGGCAATAAGCTTTCGAGGCGTCTTATGACACTCGAGGCCCTAAATCCCAAACCCTAACTTTTAATTGGCCCCGGCTTCAGGGTTGCATTTCGCTGGGGGCGGAGAAGCGCAGGTCTACTAAAGTAAAAGCCAGAAAGTTGGAATACTATTATCCTAAACCCTTTATGGTAAATTATAAGGTATCCTACCCTGAAACCATATTCCAAGTTTCTGGAGTTCCCTTTACGAGGTTCGGGCTTTCGGGTTTGGGGCTCCAGGGTTTTCTGAGGCTTTGGGTTTCGGGTTTAGGGTTTAGGGTTTAGGGCCAGGCTACTCGACGTCTTTCTAAAGCTTCTGGTTAAGGCTTAGGGTCCAAGGTCTATAGAACTCCAGGATGTGCACGAGATGGATGGAATCCGGAGGGTCGCTGCGTTGCGGGATGTTGAGGTACGGGGTGCCCGCCCTGAGCTGCAACGGCCAGCGGGGTGAAGAAATTGGTTGTGGCGTTGTCCTTTGCAGCGTCGGCCTCCAGCAAAAGGTAATCAACATCGATGTGCCGTGCAGCAACCTGCAAGGCAACTGTCCGTGCAAGCTGCGATGATCAAAGGGTGGTGCCACTATCCATGGCCTTGTGCTTGTCTGCGTTGGCCTCCAGCAAAAGGCGTGCAACCTCCAAGTGACTGCTCTGAGATGCCACGAACAATGGAGTGGCGCCACTATCCATGGCCTTGTCCTTGTCTGCATTGGCTTCCAGCAAAAGACATGAAACCTCCAAGTGCCCGATATGAGCTGCGATGATCAAAGGGGTGGTGCCGTCATGCTTGGCCTTGTCCTTGTCTGCATTAGCCTCCAGCAAAAGGCGTGCAACCTCGAACTGCCCGTTTTGAGCTGCGATGATCAAAGGGGTGGTGCCGTCCTGCCTTGCCTTGTCCTTGTCTGCGTTGGCCTCCAGCAAAAGGCGTGCAACCTCCAAGTGACCGCTCTGAGATGCCACGAACAATGGAGTGGCGCCACTATCCATGGCCTTGTCCTTGTCTGCATTGGCTTCCAGCAAAAGACATGCAACCTCCAAGTGCCCGATTTGAGCTGCGATGATCAAAGGGGTGGTGCCACTATCCATGGCCTTGTCCTTGTCTGCATTGGCTTCCAGCAAAACGCGTGCAACCTCCAAGTGCCCGTTTTGAGCTGCGATGATCAAAGGGGTGGTGCCGTCCTGCCTTGCCTTGTCCTTGTCTGCGTTGGCCTCCAGCAAAAGGCGTGCAACCTCCAAGTGACCGCTCTGAGATGCCACGAACAATGGAGTGGCGCCACTATCCATGGCCTTGTCCTTGTCTGCATTGGCTTCCAGCAAAAGACATGCAACCTCCAAGTGCCCGATATGAGCTGCGATGATCAAAGGGGTGGTGCCGTCCTGCCTTGCCTTCCTCCTTGTCTGCATTCGCCTCCAGCAAAAGGCGTGCAACCTCCGTGACCGCTCTGAGATGCCATGAACAATGGAGTGGCGCCACTATCCATGGCTTTGTCCTTTCTGCATGGCTTCCAGCAAAGACATGCAACCTCGAACTGCCCGTTTTGAGCTGCGATGATCAACGGGGTGGCGCCGTCCTGCCTTGCCTTGTCCTTGTCTGCGTTGGCCTCCAGCAAAAGGCGTGCAACCTCCAAGTGACCGCTCTGAGATGCCACGAACAATGGAGTGGCGCCACTATCCATGGCCTTGTCCTTGTCTGCATTGGCTTCCAGCAAAAGACATGCAACCTCCAAGTGCCCGATTTGAGCTGCGATGATCCAAGGGGTGGTGCCGTCATGCTTGGCCTTGTCCTTGTGTGCATTAGCCTCCAGCAAAAAGCGTGCAACCTCGAACTGCCCGTTTTGAGCTGCGATGATCAACGGGGTGGCGCCGTCCTGCCTTGCCTTGTCCTTGTCTGCGTTGGCCTCCAGCAAAAGGCGTGCAACCTCCAAGTGACCGCTCTGAGATGCCAAGAACAATGGAGTGGCCCCACTATTCATGGCCTTGTCCTTGTCTGCATCGGCTTCCAGCAAAAGGCGTGCAACCTCCAAGTGATCTTTCTGAGATGCCACGAACAATGGAGTGGCGCCACTATCCATGGCCTTGTCCTTGTCTGCATTAGCCTCCAGCAAAAGGCGTGCAACCTCCAAGTGACCGCTCTGAGATGCCACGAACAATGGAGTGGCGCCATCCATGGCCTTGTCCTTGTCTGCATTGGCTTCCAGCAAAAGACATGCAACCTCCAAGTGCCCGATTTGAGCTGCGATGATCAAAGGGGTGGTGCCACTATCCATGGCCTTGTCCTTGTCTGCGTTGGCCTCCAGCAAAAGGCGTGCAACCTCCAAGTGCCCGATATGAGCTGCGATGATCAAAGGGGTGGTGCCGTCCTGCCTTGCCTTCTCCTTGTCTGCATTCGCCTCCAGCAAAAGGCGTGCAACCTCCAAGTGACCACTCTGAGATGCCATGAACAATGGAGTGGCGCCACTATCCGTAGCCTTGTCCTTGTCTGCATTGGCTTCCAGCAAAAGACATGCAACCTCCAAGTGCCCGATTTGAGCTGCGATGATCAAAGGGGTGGTGCCACTATCCATGGCCTTGTCCTTGTCTGCATTGGCTTCCAGCAAAACGCGTGCAACCTCCAAGTGCCCGTTTTGAGCTGCGATGATCAAAGGGGTGGTGCCGTCCTGCCTTGCCTTGTCCTTGTCTGCGTTGGCCTCCAGCAAAAGGTGTGCAACCTCCAAGTGACCGCTCTGAGATGCCACGAACAATGGAGTGGCGCCACTATCCATGGCCTTGTCCTTGTCTGCATTGGCTTCCAGCAAAAGACATGCAACCTCCAAGTGCCCGATTTGAGCTGCGATGATCAAAGGGGTGGTGCCACTATCCATGGCCTTGTCCTTGTCTGCGTTGGCCTCCAGCAAAAGGCGTGCAACCTCCAAGTGACCGCTCTGAGATGCCACGAACAATGGAGTGGCGCCACTATCCGTGGCCTTGTCCTTGTCTGCGTTGGCCTCCAGCAAAAGGCGTGCGACCTCTAAGTGCCCGTGACCGCAAGCTTCGAACAGCGGTGCCGGATGACCTAAATCTGGGTCTTGTGGCTTGTGCAGAATCGTCTCCACGACCGATGTCAGACCACTTGCTGCAGTACGCCGAAGCTCTTCAATTTGCGCGTCAGATGCGGGACTGAAACTCACAAGCACGAGCTGAACATCGCCCGGTTTTGAGATATGTTCCTTGTCATGCAGTGTGACGCCTTCATCCAAGAACACCAGCCGTTGCCTGAATCTTGGCTGCCCACACAACTTCTGCAAGTGCTGCTTCAGTGCCCGGACGGGATGGCTTTCTGCAGGGAGCGCGCCCAGGAAGATCGCCAGCTCAATGCTGACAAGGATCTCCCCGGACACGGAACGAACGCGTAACATCGCGGCCCGAGAGGTCTACTTGGAGGCCCTTTTGACTTAGTAAGTCTACTTAGTATCCCCTAGAAACCCTATTATAATCTCATAACCCACCTTACTAACCCTACTTACTAAGTCAAAAGGGCCTCCAAGTATGATAGTAGAGTCCTGTTACGGAACCAGAAGGAATATTAACATCGCGGCCCGAGGAGTTGATGATAGTAGAGTCCTGGTAAGGAGCCCGATGGAACGGTAGTTTGGTGTGGCCTTTAACTTTAAACACCCTGAAAAAATTATATATAGGGTCCCTTATAAACCCAAATAAGGAAAATAAAAAGTGTCCCAAAATCCAACTTAGTAGTACCAAGCATTCAGACCTCTATGGCAGGAGTTGTCACCAGCGGCAGTACTTGGCTTCTCGAGTCTCTAGGCGTGAAGCCGGAGCCTGGGTATAGCATACTAGGATACCCAGTAACCTAAGAATAAAAAGGCCTCTCTTTTTGGTATTGGGTAACTTTATAAGGAACCTAGGACTACAAAAAGGGAATAAGGGTACTACTGGGCATCCTAGCATACCTGAAACCTCAATAATCCTTTGCAGGGACGTATATAAGCCAGCTATAAACCCAAAACCTACATCTAAAGACATGGAATTCCTTCTTTGTAGGGACTTATACAAAGGCAAAACCTACCTCGTTCATGGTTGGGATAGGATTTAAAATTCAATTTTTTCTTCCTTATTGGGTTTAGGTACCAATAAAGATGTAAAATGTAACCCAACTATGACAAAGCTACGTCTGAAGACATGGAATGACGATCGGTCAGTAGCATTCCGTAGGAATTGAACTGGAGTTTGCTTAGCAGCTGGCAGTACAGTGCAGGCAATCACTTTGGGGTTTACATGGATAGTTTGCCTGATTTAGGGTCTTTGTGATATGTGATAAGGGTGCTTGGTTTCGACTTTCCGTGCTTAGCTTAGACAATTCAAGCTTCCGTTTCGGTGTGTTTTCGTATTTCTGGCAGCCGCAAACCGACAGAATTAGGAGTTTCCGAAAATGGGGGACCCCAATATAGTACCCTAAATAGTAGGATTCTTATAAGGACCCCAAAATAAGGTACCCCTAGTTTCGGAAACTCCCAATTAGGAGTTCTGCTTGCAGTGCAAGACACCGCTCCGGCCCGAGTGCATTCTGCATCCTCGCCCTGAGAGCTCGCTCATTCTCACCTGGAGGTTTCCGAAAATTAGGGGTACCTTATTTTGGGGTCCTTATAATAAGGATCCTACTATAAAGGATACTATATTAGGGTCCCCTATTTTCGGAAACTCTCACCTGCTCACAGCGCAGTGCCGGAAAAGGAGGCAACATAGGGGCCTTAATAATTAGAATAGGCTTTTGGGGGCCCAGTATACTATATATACAATAAGAAACCACCAAAATAGTATAGGTACTTATTAAGGCCCCTATATCACACTTACGGCTCACGGTTTGTAGGAGTAGGGTCTCGGCTTGAAAATTTAGCGTTGCAGAGCTAAGGGTTCGCAGAGAAACCTCTCCCAAGTAAAACGAAGAACAGGCCGTAACTTTTACTGTGAAAGATACCTATATTCTTAAAACCCCTTACTTAAGAAGTTAAGACGCCTGAAAAACCCGCTGCCGCTAGTTCAAGCCCTATTAGCGCTTGAAGAAACACTACAACTCCCTCGTTTGCACCTCTGGCCTGCAATCGTTCCCCTCATGTGCGTCAGCAAACAGCTCAGCGCCGCCACGTAGCCGAAGAGGCAAAATCCTCCTGAGAATCGTCTCTAGGGCTTTTCTGGCTTCAGACATGTTAGCTTCATTTCGGCCTTTGAGGTTTCGCAACTTAACATGAAAGCACATAACATGAAATAGCACATGGTGGAACGAATGTTGAAGCATGACATGGCATCTAGTATGTACTTTACACTGTGTGAAACCTAACACAACATACGTACATGTGTGTGCATATATATATATATATTATTTGTCAGATACACAATACACACACACACTACCGTAGTAACCAGGTAACCGATATAACACAGCACAGTAAAGCATAGCAAGATAAAAACCCCAGATATAGGATAACACGATGCATTACAACAGTTCTAACAGATTCTAACATGTGACAACATAGTATCAGGACTCCAGAATAGAAGTATCAAATAGTCATATACGCCATGTAAACGGTGCATGATGTATAATGTACTCAGCATGTACTACGATACAGAGTATGCAATTTATAATACAACTGAATACAACATGCTACATGTTACAGTGTATACTAGAATACATACTGCGATATAAAATACAACTTGAAACCATAGACGGTCTAACGAATCATATCATGCCTACTATACGACGGACCAACACATAGTTTTGGAAGTTTACTTGCAGGTAAAATGTGGGCGAAGCTTAAGACGCACACACACACACACCTATATATATATATATATATATATAAATGTATACATACATATATCTTCTACAAATAGCACACCAGAATTTGAAATATGCACGAACATCATGAACATGTTATAGAGCATAAAGTACTTGATGAACTTTTCAAAAAAAAGTTATGCTGCAAAAGACATCACAAACGGTAGTATTCAGTAATCTTAACAGCACTAGAACAAACAACATATAGCAAACAAACCTATTTATCACATGGAATCAAACCGCAATGTGCAACAGATGTGTACAATGCGCAAGTAGCAATATGGTATGACACAGTATAAGATCACGGTTCTTTAACACAATACAAAACAATGTACCGCACTAAAATGACCACAATATAACACACGTCTTATAATATGTATATACATATACACATGTACATACATGTATACGTGTATATATACACATCTATTTATGTATATGTGTGTATATATATGTATAGTTATTCGCATATTAACATAATGCAATATCAGACCATCATCATGTGATGACACATTCTGATACAGCGTAAAATATTATGATACAGTACAACGTGACATTATGCACTAGAGCACATTACAAGCAAATACAACACAATGTGTCATTCTGACATGTAAGATGAAGTAAAAGGAATGATCCTTTATGATACATTTTGGTATGGTGCAATATATCATAACATGCTGTAGTGTCACGTAGCATAACCCTAATACATTACCTTAGAACATAATACATTAAGCATGTACATAAAATAATTAGACTAGGGTTTTGGGGCCCATAATACTATAACTATAGTAATAAGGAACCCATATAGGGGCCTTACTAATTAGAACAGGGTTTTGGGGCCAGTAGTTATACTATTATAATAATCGAAGATACTCGCACTTGCAATCTACTGCCCCTGGGCCAGTTCCAAGCAGCCGTGGACGTCGGAGGTGTCAGGCAGCAGGGAGGAAATCCAAAGAGTGTGCCTTGGATATGTAAGGCTTATAACTTAGTCTAGACCCAAGAGTAGCCTAGGAATAAAAAGGGTGCCCTTTTTGGTTTAAAGGGGCTTATAAGGGAACCTGAACCCCAAAAAAGGGAATAAGGGCCTTATCTAGGTCCTAGTTGCTGAGTTCATAAGCCCCCCAAAAAAGGTACACTTTCAGTTTCATAGTGGGTAACATTATCCCAAAAAGTGTAAAGCGTATCCACTCAGCTACTAAGTTACTGAGGGCTTACTGCTACTGGACTTATACGGGTTCTATGACCGATATCGTAGGGTTCTCGAGAGATGATAAAGTGCAATCAAGGAAGAATGTTTGATCCGAATAAATGAGGGTTACCTTTAGAACTCAAGGAACCTATACCGTGATCAGCAGGCATGCTGCACGCTGTAGGCCTTTAATGTCTGTAATGGAACTTTCTGAGATACTGCTGAGGTTTGCGCACGACTAAGTTGCCTCCGTAGCACTTTAAATGTAATCGATGGTATCGTTGTTCCCAACATTCAGTCTGAACGGCCGAAAAGTCTCAAGAAGTACAGGGCCACTCCTGGGTGACCGAGTCATGCCGAAGTTATGTCGTGATTTGCGTCCGTGACGCAATGGGAGCTGACAAGCGCCAGTGGATCCTTCGGTGCCGTTCGAGCCTAGGCTTTAGGAATAGTTGTCATTATTATGACAGGAAAATAAATACAAATAGCAATAGTAGTACTAATATTAGAAATAATGAGAATAACATTGATTTCAGGCTTTAGTTTTCGAGGTTTCTAGGGTTTCGGACTCCATGGGATGCGATGCCATGCGCTCTCATCTATTGTCCTGCAAGGCTTGCAACATTCATTCAATGCTTTGTTGGACCTGTCTTTCTGTGACTTTCATGCTTTGTTGGACCTGTCTTTCTGTGAAATCGGGCATGCATTGGAGACGTGTCATCTGCCCGACTGTCTTCTGGAATAAAGCAGATGCTAGTGAATTGCCAGCCACTTCTGGCGAGTGAAAGGACAATAAACTGTAAAGCTTGAACCCTAAATCCCACACCCCAAATCCCACATGCGACGACCAACATCGCAAACCCTGAGTCCTAAACTAGCGGAACTCCTTCCGGCTGTGTCCATGAACCAGGCATGGGAGACAGGCCACAAAGTCCGATATCGTCCAAGCCTATTGAAACATGTTCGAAAAAAGGCATCCTGTGCGGCCCTATCAAGGCAAGCCTGAAATGTCCAACAGGCCTACCTACGGTTGATGATATAAATCCTGCATTACCCTAAGGACCCTGAACTATGGGAATTTGGTATATTCCTTATTCTGGGTAATGCGGGATTTGTGTCATCAACCGTAGTTCCGCAGCTCCCAGGGCGAGCAGCAGCCATGGTTGGCAGGAAGGTCCACGATGGCTCGTCCCGTCTCGCGCAGCTGGTAGAACTCCTTCGTTTCATTTCAGGGTTGAAGTTTAAGGTTTAGGAACTCAAAAGTCATCTAGTAACTAGTATTTTAGGGGAACTGAAGGTTAGCCTTTGAGGTTATATAGGGACTATAGTACCTCATGAAGGCGAGAGGTTACCTGCTTTGCTATTGGAGCTCCTGGTCCAACGAATCTCTCCGCATTCTCTGAATGTCTGATCGCAGCAGCTCTGTCGCAGAACAATCACCAGAACAGATCCTACAAACCTAGAGATTAGGTACGGCCCCCATACAGTAAGAGTCTATAATAGGGCTACTATTAAGGTCCTACTATATCTATATTATGAAGATTATTCAGCTATTACTGAGTGGGGACCGGACCCAACCTAAAGACCTGAACTCAAAAACCCTAACTCCAATCACTCCATTCGGAATTGGTTTAGAAAGTAGATCATAAGGACCCTTTACAAAAGTAGGGGGGTAGGGGGTCTTAATGCCTATAATAAGGACTTAATAAAGCTTTTAAGGGTCCCTGTGAGTAGAGGGCAGGTGAACTTCACAACCGTGAGCCCAGGCACTTTGTACCAGCCCGACACGAACTCCACGGACTGCTCCTCAAGGTCTTGACCGAATTCTCTCAAGGTTGCTTAGCGGGGCTTCATAAGTTGATTATTAGGAGGTCCAGCAGCCTAGGAAAAAAGGGCTCCCTTTTCGGTATTGGGGAACTTTATAAGGAACCTAGGACTACAGAAAGGGAATAAGGGAGGCCTGGGGGTTAGCTCAGGTACCCTCCACTTAATGGTCCTCCTAATCCTGAAGTGGAAAGTTTCACCAAACCCGTTTTTTGGCGCTCCCCTTCATTCTACATGCCTTCTCCGTAAGAATCAGCCTGCAGTTAAGGCTCCTACTTGGGGGCCCTTTTGACTTAGTAAGTCTACTTAGTATCCCCTAGAAACCCCATTATAATCCCCATAACCCACCTTACTAACCACTTACTAAGTCAAAAGGGCCTCCAAGTAGACGGTGTCTATTCCTTGTTTTGGCTTTATGTCAGCACTCCTGTCTCGGACTGGGCCCCCCCACCCCCCATTGGTCGATGATGTAGGTGGCGGTGGCTTGCCTTAGAAGGGGAGCTTAATAGTCAGAACAGGGTGTTGTGGTGTATTCTGTAGTTAATATGTAGTAGAATTTTGAAAGGATTCTTCAGACCCGCGTGATAAGCCCTAAGTATGCAGTGCAACTTGGCAAGCGGCAGCTCCACCAATCCGTCCCGGGCGAGACCGCGTCCTGGCAGAGACAGACATGGGCAGAAGGTTATACAGTCAACCATGCTGTTGTTTAGGTTTCCTTTCATTATAGTATATGTCCTTTACCCTGAACCCGTAGCTTCAATATCGCCTTCACCATCAGTCGGACGAGCTAAAGAGTCTAAAGCACGTCCTACAGTAAACATTTCTCAGAAACTGCGAATCCCTAAACAGTTTTTGACTATAGCATAATGCGCACCACCCCCCTCTCAAAAAGAAGGTTCAATTATTAAGGGCCCTTTGCGTAACTAGCCGACGCATCCACCGATCTGCCGACGTACCTGTTCAGGTAATATGGGGGCCTTAATTTTTTGACTAAGGTTTTGGGTCCCAGTAGAAGGAACCCCACCTAAATAGTAATTATTTACAATTAGCCTACACTATGTCGTCATTGAAACCGTACTGTGGAGCATATGATAGGTCAAAGGACATAGCTCCTCAGTATTGAGAGGTATGGTCCTTGAGTCATATTCATATCACTCCTTGTTGTATGGTAAACTTGGGTGTTCCGAACTATAATGTATAGTGAGGGTCCACCACCCATACCACTTCCAGCTTGCTGATGAAGGCCAAACGATAAAAGCCAAGCTCCTTACCCTTTATCTCGAAAGAAAAACCCTCGTAAGAACCCCCATGAACCATAATGAGAGCTCTAAGCGCTAAACCTTTGTTATTTCAAAGTCTGTTCACTAATAGTAGCCTGAGCCGAGTCAAGCTTGCGCGGCAGCCCCCTTGTTATCTGTCTTTGGGTGTTCGAGGATGTATATTATTATGGTTTTATGGGGTTCAGGGCTTTATTGTTGATAGGTTTGCGGGCTTCGGGGCTTATAGGGTTCAACGGGTTGGTGTCTCTCTTTGCCTGAAACCGCGAGCCCAGACCTCGCCTAGGCCCTCGGAACGAAGTTCGCGGAAGTGCCGCCAAATCGGTGCGAAGCCTGCCCGAAGAGCAGTGTTTTTTTAAGGCTCCTTTTTGAGTAGTTTAGGGTTTAGGGCAGTGCAGAGCCCCCCATCGTGGGTGGCAAATCTCAGGATTGGGAACATGCCCAGGATGCGAACCGTTTCCGCGACAGATCAGGGTTCGTGGCTTCATAAACTGTAGATATGCTACACTTGATGCAGTGTCCAGAACGGCAGAGTGGAGTCAAGAAGATTCACAAGACAGTCTGCACTTTAACCAATGAAGGCCGCGGAAGATGTCGGCGGCGATTGACTCTCACTTTCGATGAGTCAATCATCACTTCGAACGAGCGCTGTCATAAGCACACTCCCCAAATAAGCCAGAGAAACAAAAGGTTAAACTTTCAGATTCCAACTAAACCTATAAGAACCCGATCTAATACTAAGTAGAGGCCTGATTCGTCCTCCGTGCGCTGCGCTGCCTATGCAACTGTCGTCTTGTCACTGAGGGTCTCGGGATGCAATTTTAATTTGAGGCCTTGACAGCCAGAACGAGCCTGCTGGGTGTAGCATAGTATGGTTTAGGGTTTAGGGTTTAGGATTTAGGGTTTAGGGTTTAGGGTTTAGGGTTTAGGATTTAGGGTTTAGGGTTTAGGGTTTAGGATTTAGGGTAATTCGTAGAAGTATAAGAAGATGTGGGCTCCAACGGGATAGTATTGCCAGTTAAGAGTTCGGACCTCCAGAGTATTTGATGCATTGGTTCGCAAAACCTCGATTTCTTAAATGGGCCTTTGGAGTTTCGCAATCCTTTTCAAAGACTAGACCTAAGAGTAACCTAGGAGTAAAAAGGGTGCCCTTTTTGGTTTAAGGGGGCTTATAAGGGAACCTGAACCCTAAAAAAGGGAATAAGGGCCTACTCTAGATCCTAGAAGATGAAGTTTGACGAATCAGGGATCTACGTCGAAGCCAACGCTGAACTGCCAACCCGGAGTAGCTGAAGTTGGCCAAAAAGCTGCAATGACAATGCCTGGCTGCTACGACTAAAGATCTTTCTGGCAGACCGAAGGTATACTGAGTATACCGTCGTTCTCTATGAGGAGTTCCATCTATTCGAGGCGCTCCAATGCTAACCATCACTTACTTCTGTCATTACTCCGTGGCAGGCGGGTCCCCCTTCCTGGGTGCTTGTTAAGGGATTAAATTCAAGTTACCATAATGAGGAAACCTTATTATGTACTATAGACCCCTATAATGAGTCCTTAAACTTACTTCCCTGAGTTGTCCTTTAAGCCCTTTGAAAATTATCTACTATTATGGTTCTCTACAAAATAGTAGGGGAAAAGAAAAAAGATCCCAAAGGACAACCCAGTTCCTTAACAAGAACCCAGCTTCAGACTTCATCAAGCGGAGTCGATGTGAGTGACAGGCCACCAGGCCGGGACGGTGGCCCACAGAGACGAAGCAAGCCACGTGGTTCTTCACCTGGGCAATTAGGGTTTAGGGTTTAGGGTTCAGGCCCTCAGAACCTGTACTTCTTTTTGTTTTCCTTCTTCAAAACAACACTACTGAGCTACTACGATGCTCTTTAGTTCCAAATCGAACACAAGCTTTATCTTCCAGAACAGCCCCAGTCACGAGTTCGTAGGCCGTCCTTTCATTTGCCTCATCCAGGGCAGACGTCGATTCATCAAGGATGGCCAGATCCACGTTCGGTTGGAGCAGAAGCCTCGCCAGATTCAGCCGCTGCCTTTCCTGAGCAGTGGTTCTTGCTCGAGGAACTTACCGATTCAAACCCTAAGTCCTACACCTCTAATCTAGGGGCCTTAATAATTAGACTAGGGGTTAGGGGCCCTTTTGTACTATAACCATAGGTATTTACTAAGGCCCCTATATTAATCCCTAAACCCTTCCTTCGTCATAAACTCTTCATTCGTCACTTGTCTTTGATGAACGACTGAGGTGCTCATTACCTGATTACCCTAGCCCCCCCAAAAAGGCTTACCTTTTCAATTATGGTAGGATTATATTAGCCACACAAAGTTAGAGGTGGCCTACTCAGCTACTAAGACGAACCCTATCCCAAAAAGGTTAACCTTTTCAATATTATGGCAATAGGATTATAAAAGCCACAAAAGGTTTCAGGTTACCTACTCAGCTCCAAGATGAAAACCTACTAGGATACCCAGTAACCTAAGAATAAAAAGGCCTCTCTTTTTGGTATTGGGTAACTTTATAAGGAACCTAGGACTACAAAAATGGGAATAAGGGTATACTGGGCATCCTAGCCTAGCTTCACCACCAGACAGGATCTTCTGTAAGTCCACCTCCTCATCCATGCCAAAGCGTTTCGGAAGATGGTCGATGTTCAGCTGTTTCCTCGGCTCGTCTTAAGAAACTTAAGCGTTGTATGGCTTAGGGTTTAGGGGCTGCTTCCCGGATTCGTCTGAAGAGACTTGAGGGTTCCGTGGCTTAGAGTTGTGGGTTAAGGGTGGATGAAGTTTTTGCAGGGGGTGTGTCAAGGAACGCAGCCGAACTTACCATTTGACCACGAACATACGAACAAAATCTCGGCTTTACAAACCGGTAAATAGTAATCTGCCTGTCCGCTATCCTGTAACGTTCGGGAGTATGGTGGGGCTATATCGGGATCATGGCACCTACTCTACTACTAGGGTAACTTAATCTAGGTGGGGCTTTTAAAGCAATTGAAAAATATTAGTAAATAAGATCCTCTTAATCCCAATAAGGGAAAATATGAAATGTCCCAAAGCCCTACCTAGTAATCGAAGCCAGTCTCAGCACGTCGAAGATCCTTGACCTACTTGGCTCCTCCACACCCTCCCGGCGCGGATAGAGGAGGTTGTCATGAAGTGAGCCGAGACAGATGTAGGGCGTCTGTGGCACGAAGAAACATCTCTCAAGCCTAGTCGATGGTCCGGATAGCATTTAAATTTCTAGTCCTTCTGCGGTTTAAGTACCCATAAACATGAAAAAAACTATCCAAGTATGGCAAAGAAGCCTCGTTCGCCGAATTGTGCCATGCCCACTTACCCAAAGACCCGCGATGGCTCGGAGCAGGGAGCTTTTTCCTGATCCACTGGGCCCCTCGATGAGAAGAGACTGTCCCGCGTGGAGGCCTAGGTTTTTGAGGGGTTTAGGAGTTTAGGGTTTAGGGCTTAGGAGTTTCGTTGAAGGTTTAGGGTTTAGGAGTTTCGTTGAAGGTTTAGGGCTTAGTTAGTTTAGGAGTTTCGTTGAAGGTTTAGGGTTTAGGAGTTTCGTTGAGTGCTTAGGGCTTAGGAGTGTCGTTGAGGGTTTAGGGTTTAGGAGTTTCGGGTTGAGGAGTCTAGGGTTTAGGGTTTAGAGGTTTAGGAGTGTCGTCGAGGGTTTAGGGTTGAGGGTTTAGGAGTTTAGGGTTTAGGGTTTAGAGGTTTAGAGGTTAGGAGTTTGGCGTTTAGGACTTTAGGGTTTAGGACTTTGGGTTTAGGGGTGTAGGGTTCATGGCTTAGGTTCCCCTTTGTCCCCTTCAGAATAGGGGTACCCCGCTGCCGGGCATTCAGCTTTAATAAGGGAACTCTGTGATAAAAAGGGCAGGGGGGTACTCCTGGGAAACCTATACCCCCCCAATAGAACCATGCTAAAAAACACAACAGGTTCAGTCTCCGCTTGGGTTTTTACTCTTTAGGAGGGACCCTTAGTGGGGACCCCTACCCTATAATGGGCTATACAATGGGTATGTAATAGCTATATTAAGGGCATATACCTAGGGGTCCTCATTAAGGGTCCCTCCTTTTACCATTGGACCTACGAACAAAAACTGAAAACCCTAAACCCTAAACCCTAAACCATCCTGAGGAGACTTTGCCACCCTAGAGGCTGAACGAGAGGCCCTCCATCAGCGGAGCGTCGCCCAGAGGCGGGAAGAGAGTGAGCTCCGCCACCTGGCAGCTTCCGAAAATAGGGGGCCCAGCCCCTAATGTAGTACCCCAAATACTAGGAGGATCATGATTTTAATATAGGGATACCTAAACAGTAGGATCCTTAATAAGTTACACTAACCCTAAACTCCAAAATACGGTACCCTAAACCCTAGACCCCAAAATAAGGTACCCCTTGTTTTCGGAAACGCCCACCTGGATCCGGAGCGTCGACTGCAAATCCGAGTCCAAGTCCTCCACGTGCAGCTTCTCCTTACTTCCCCCGATATACGGTCATACATATATATATATATATATATGTATATACATATGTGTATATATATATAATATACATACATATATATATATATACATATATATATATATATATATATACATATATATATATATATCTGTATATACGTATATACCTATAGTCCTATAGTTCAAGCTATGTAAACACTGTACTATATTACAGCATTAGCGTATAGTAGACTGCAATATATTATAGCGTACTTTCGTAATATATGTTATACCACGGAAATAGAATGTTAAACTTTCAGCTTACTCTTAACCATCAAAGCCAAACGAGCAGCAGCGCGAACCATAACAACAAAAACAAGAAGTCCAGTAACTTCTCAGGGTTTAGGGTTTAGGGCTTGGAGTTTACTGTTATGAGCAAACATATATACCGAAGAACACTATAAACACTAATTACCTACTTGTCGGGTATCATGGGGAACTAAAGGTTAACCTTTTTGGTTATATAGGGACTATACTACGCAAAAAAAGGTACTCTACTGCTAGGATTAAGTCTCGGACTCCATCTCATCGGAAACCCTTTTGGTTATATAGGGATTATAAAGGCACTATACTACCCCAAAAAGTACTCATTAAGTCTCGGACTCCATCTCATCGGAAGAACTGAGAGCCTCGATGTCGGACAAGTCTTCGGAATCCGTTGCGGTCGATGCTTCGCTCTTTGCGTCGGAGGCGCCTTTTCCTGAGCTCTTGCTGTGGACGGTTTAGGGCTTAGGGCTTTAGGGTTGTAGGGATTTAGGGTTTAGGGGTTTAGGGGCTTTGGGATTAGGGGTGTAGGGTTGTGGGCCTTCATGAAACTGCCCAAACAAGGAAAGTATCACATTGTGCGAGATGTCCAATTTATTGTAAGTCTTTTGCAAAGCCCGACAATGACAAAGCCCTTTCACAATTTTTTATCCCTTTATATGCCCATGACGGCAACTTAAACCAAGGTAGGTCCTAAACCCCACTAAAGCCCAAACCCTGAACCCTAAACCCGAAGCCCCTTAACCCCTTAACCCCAAAGACAAAAACCCTAAACCCTTAAACCCTGAAGCCAAATTTCCTGAACCCAAAGCCTAGACGCCCTAAACCCTTAGACTCTAAACCCTTAAACCCTTAAACCCTAAAGCCAAAAACACTAAGCCCTAAACCCCCAAACCCTTGAACCCTAAAGCCAAAACCCTAAACCCTACTTAATGGATCATGGGAGTTAGTAAGTAGGGTTACAAAGACGGTCTAACTATACTTGATAATTACGTAGTTATTACACCAATTAAGGCACTCATAAACCTACTTACTAAGTCCCATGATCCTGCAAGTAGAGGTCCCAGTGTCCTTCCTCGCTGAGTCCTTCCTCGCTGATCTTTCGCAGCGCGTCCCAAAGCTCCTACTATTTGCTTAAGAACCCCCCAAAAAATAAAAAATACATTCCTTATGGGGGTAATATAGGGATTAAACCCTAAACCCTAAACCCCATTTTTTGGATGTTTCTTAAGCAAATAGTAGGCTCCTTCAGGCGAACGGACTCGGCGCCGAGCTTCGCGATGTTGTTGAGCCTTCAGTACTTGAAGGCCCATGGGACTGAGTAAGTAGGGTTATAAGGGTTTCTAGAAGGGTTCCCTTAAGGGGCTCCTTAAAGGGATCTATAAGGTTTAGGGTTTAAGGTCTACTTGGAGGATCATGGGACTTAGTAAGTCGGGTTATAAGTAACACCATACTTAGTAAGTACTTCTAACCCCAATTGAGGCACTTATAACCCTACTTACTAAGTCCCGTGAGCCTTCATCCAAGGGTAACAGGAGGGACCTTTAATAAGGACCCCCAAGTATATACCCTTAATATAGCTATTATATACCCATTATATAGCCCAGTATAGGGTAGGGGTCCCCATTAAGGATCCCTCCTTTTCCCCTTCTGACTTCAATTGGTAGCGATCAGGGATCCTATACGGGGTACCATAACAGGTACCATGAGTGAGGGCTACCGTAGGTTCAGGGGGTTCGGGTTTAGAGCTTTAGACGCTCGCCAAAAGGGATCCTATGAGGATAAGGGGTGCCATAAGGGCTACAAAGATGTTGTTGAGCTTTCAGAAACTCTCCCTAATAGCTTACGGTTTTAGAAGGCCGCGATGAGGGATCCTGTAAGATTACCAAAAGGGGTACGTCAATTATCAGGGATACCAGAAGGACTACTAGAAATGCGTTGAATAGAAGGGTAGGATTATGATATGGATGCTCAAGTAAAGGTCCAACGTGAACGGCTTAATCAGCAAGGGGTCTCCATTTCTTCTTCGACAAAAACTTTCAGAATAGTAGCTGTGCATACCATACCATATGATAATACACTCGAATATCCTGTAAAGAGTATGTTCTATCTGACTATCATACACTAAAATATATTGTACATGGGAATGTGTTGCATAGTCTAAAACCTACTTGTCTTGTAGGCTCTCATTCTACACCGTAATATGGACTTTATAGAGATTCGAGAAAATAGTCGGGTTGGGTGGGTCCATAGCCTGGCCTAGGCCGCCCACCTTCGTGGGTGGGCGGCGCTTAAGCCCCTCGACCTCGATGGCGCCAATACGCTGGCCCGCCTTTCCACACCCATGGAAACAGTAGCACCCACGTCAGGTCCCGAAAGCTGCAAACAAAACGGGACACCCCAAGGGGGGGGCTTGGGGCCTGCAGCGAGCAGAGTTCAAGGACCTCGGGGCGTCTAGGCGGGTTGTAGGAGGAGACTTGGACGAAAAACTGCATTTTTTTGGATTTGGACTACTTGCCTGGCCCCGTGGCCCCCTCGCTGGCCCCTTGGCCCCCTAGCCCACCCATACCCCAAAACCTGACTTGCCTCCCTGCGTCTTGACGGACCTTCTGGCCTATCCTGCCTGCCTGCACGAGTTGTGGTTCTTGTCGGCAGGGGCCCTTTGGAGGCGAAAGGGGTGAGACACCGCGGCCGCCTTGGGCGTGCCAGCGGGGGAGACGCTCAGCCGTGGAACGGGCGCGGCACGTCCTGTCGGGGTTTCTGTCTTTGTCTCTGTCTCTGTCTCTGTCTCTCTCTCTCTCTCTCTTCTGAGGCTGCTGCTGTCACGGGCGTTTTCTTGGCCACCTGTGCCAGGGCATCATGGAGTGCCGCAGACGGTCGAAGCTTGCCTTGCGTGCCTTTCGACACGCTGCGCACGGGCACACGGCAGCCTGCTGCAAACTTCTGGCCAACAAGACGTGCTGTCACACGGGAGGCCTGGTTGTGCTCGTGGCAGCGACTCTCGCCGAAGTGCACATGGCACAACTCGGCGCCACAGACTGACTCCTCTTTGGGGCCCGACACAACAGGCCCAGAGTTCTTCCCAGCATCGTCCCAGCACTTCGTCCCGATGCTGGCAACGAGTGGCGACTCTGCCTGCGGTCGTGGCCCATATATTGCTACTACTCTGCCTCAGGCTGAGCGCTCCACCGGCCCTGCTACGCACCACTTGCACGTCCTGGGTTGGCACAGAACTGAGTTCAAGTGGAACAAGCTCCTCCACTCGTCGCCTCGTCGCAGGCGTTCGCGGTCAGTGCGAGTGCGAGCTCTGCGTCACTCGGCAAGGAGCTGTCGCTGTCGCCTACCTCGGCGAAGCAGTTCTGCCGGCAGGCCTTCTTTTTGGCGCGGACGCTGCCTCCGTGTCCGACTCGACTTGGTAGGGGTCGTCCGTGGCTTTCTTGCGCCCGTCCGCGCGCGTGAGGCCGTAACCTGGATTAGCGCTCTGGCTGACAGGTTCGTCATTTACATACTTCAGTGTAATCACTTAAGCCCGCCACTTTTCACGAAGCGAGCTTCTGCTTTGCGCTCTGCCTCGCGGGCTCTCTCCGCCAGGAGCTCCCAGGCTCTGTCTGGGTCCTGTCACATGATATCGTCTCTGTTCCAATCAACCCCTAAAAGGAATAGGTTTGGGTGGTTTGGCCGCCTTAGACGGCGTGGGAGAGTGAAAATAAAGAGCCAGCCAAAATCAGGCTCAAACGTTCAATCGCCAGAAGACGATGCACTCTAAATTACATTGTCGCAACCTACTTCCGCTTATGCGCCTTTCGACGGCAAACCCTAAACCCTAAATAGGTAATACGCAGCTTAAAAGGCCGAGGAGCTCCCCTCCCAAGTCCATCATGCCCGACATGCCTGAGATTAGGGTTTAGGGTTTAGGGTTTTACGAGCTCCGGGGATTGGGGTTAAGGAGGTTCTAGGGGCTTTAGAGGTTTAGGGATCAGGGTTTAGGGCTTTAGCACACACGTCCCCTCACCAAAATCACACCCTTCCTCTCACTATGCAGCTGTAATACTGAAACCCCAGAGTAAGGAAGGGTGCTTCGCAAAAGGAAACCCCGAAATGAACAAGGGTAAAAGGTTATATAGGGGCCTGAATAATTAGAATAGGGTTTTGGCGCACACTCTACAAAAATCATGATAAGGAACCCACAAAACAGTACTGGTAATTATAAGGCCCCTATATTTGCACGGTACTCCTCCGCCGCCTAGATACTCTTCTTGAAGTAAGCGTGTGACTGGGCAATGGCCCCGAACTCCACCGTGCCATTGAAGTACATGGGAACTACCACCACGAAAGGGATGAGCTCGACAGCGTGTTCAGTCACATGCTTGAAAAGGCCGAACAGGATTTCGATAGCATGTTTCTTGTATTCTGCCCAGATCGCATAATCCAGTACTTTCTCGCAGCACTCATATTCCTTAGGGGCTGAGTACCCTTATAGTACCCATAGATCTCTTAAAACTCCTCTAGACCTAAGAGTAACCTAGGAGTAAAATGTAAAGGGGGTTATAAGGGAACCTAAACCCTAAAAAAGGGAATATGGGCCTACTCCGGGTCCTAGTCCTTATGTAAACCCCCCAAAAGGGTTAAAGGCTACCTACTCAGCGACTAAGAGTCATAGAAGCCCTTACGGAGACCCTTGTAAGGACCCTTGTAGGAACCCTTTAAGATCCCTGAACCCTAAGCCCTTTCAAGGAAGCCTTATAGATCCCTTTAAGGACGACTAAGAGTCGTATTTATAGCCACTAGCCGAAAAAAGTTAACTTTTTGAATTATGCTAGGAATATACAGTCCCCCAAAAGGTGAAAGATTACCTACTCAGCGACTATAGGAGTCGTGTTTATAGCCACTAGCCGAAAAACAGTTAACCTTTTGAATTATGCTAGGAATATATAGACCCCAAAAGGTAAAAGGTTTGAGGGTTTAGGGTTTAGGGACTAAGAGTCGTATTTGTAGCCACGGAAGAAGGCCACCGACTCACCGCTCTCCCGAATGCGCACCAGGCAGTACCGGAGATTTGCCTCCACGGCCAGAACGCGGCGCTGAATCCGTATGAGAGGTCCTGTAAAAGGAATAGCAAATCATAAAAAGGAATATACCAATATTAATAATAATTACAATGATGATAATGACAATTTCAGAAATTGTTTGTGATATTAAAATTCAAACATACTACTACTAATAATAATAACAATCATGATAAAGTAACACCCTAGAACATCGTAAAGAATCCCTGCAACACCCCACAAAGACGCTACTTAGAAGACCCTATTCTGATTGTTCAGGTCCAGCAAAACAGCCAATAGAAACGAGGGTGTAGATCACCGATACGGCCGCCAAGATGTAGAAAAGAGTCGGTGACATCGCGTAGAGCTTCATGGAGCTCATGGTAATGTTTAGAAAGTCTTTCAACAGGCTGGTAGTCAGTTTAATGGAGAAATGAGTAAAGGATGCGATGTTCTGCCCGATACGCTCGTCAGGGTTGTCCACGTTGCCATACTCCATGCTCAAGCGGTAGAAGCCATTGTCCTCGTTCCTGAGCTCGTCTGAGATTCTGTTTCTAACCTGCTTGCGATTTTCTTCCTCGCGAATTATTCGAAACCAGTTTTCATTAACAAAAGCAAGAGCTGTTCAATCAATAGCCGCCTAGGTTCACATAGAGCTGAAGCATGCGACGGGACAGATATCTTCGCCAGTCCAACTGAAGCAGACAGATACTGCCTATGTGCACCTAGCGGGCCAGAAACAGGAAAAGAAAGATACAGATGCTACCTTTTGGGTAATGTACTTGGAGGCCCTTTTGACTTAGCAAGTAGGGTTAGTAAGGTGGGTTATGGGGATTATAATAGGGTTTCTGGGGGATACTAAGTAGACTTACTAAGTCAAAAGGGCCTCCAAGTAGGGGCCTCAAGAGCTAGAAGAGGGTTTTGTGGATTCTTACAAAAAGTATAGTATAGTATACCCCAACCCTATTCTGATTATTGAAGCCCCTACATTACGAGGGCTTCCTCAGGGGGATCCCTCCCTCACCCAAAGAACCCAATACCCCTTAATTAAGGAATAGACCTCGAATCATAATATTACGGTCCCTATATTTTTTTTATTTTAAGGTATACCTTAACCCTGAAGGACCTACCTTTTTAAGGACTTATGTAAGGAAATCAAAAAAGGAACCCTAAAAAGGTAGGTTATTCAGGGTTAAGGTAACCCTTAATTTAGGGGTGTTGGGATGTTTTAATTTAAGGTATAACCCTTAATTTAGGGGTGTTGGGACATTTTTAATTTAAGGTATAACCCTTAATTTAGGGGTGTTGGGATATTTTTAATTCAAGGTATAACCCTTAATTTAGGAGTGTTGGGATCTTAGGGCGCTCTTCTTGAGCTTTGAGCACCAAGATGATCGGCATCAGCAAGCCAACCAGCCCAAGCAGCTCCCACCAGATTCTCCAAAAGCGGTCAGGGTGTCCCTTAGAGGCAATTGGAGTTCAGGGCCGTCTCATATCTAGGTTTATGACCATGTACTTCATGTGAATAACAATAAGCAGATGATCCATACGACTTTAAAACCTATACATACCGTCAAGCCCAACTGGCCCAGCCTTAGCCAGGTGAGTTTGCAAGTTGCCATGCACCTTTGCCATGTGGAGTGTCATGGCTACCTGTACGTACGTTGAGGCGACGATCAGGGTCATCAGGAACCAGGCGCGGCAACACGTTTTGCGGTCCAGAAAGTATGGAGTGAAGAGGCTTCCAAAGGCACGGAGGCTTGCCCAACCTGGGTTCTTCTTGAGGAATTCATCCTTAAAGGGTTTAGGGTTTAAGGTTTAAGTTTTCATTCTAGGCATCTATAGTAAGGACTAGGGTCTCCATACTATGGAAACTTAAACCCAAGTTCCTTGACAAGAACTACTAGGATGCCCAGTAACCTAAGAATAAAAAGGCCTCTCTTTTTGGTATTGGGTAACTTTATAAGGAACCTAGGACTAGAAAAAGGGAATAGGGGTACTACTGGGCATCCTAGCTAAGCAACATCCAACTTTCGCAGGCTGTCCAAGGCCGATCACGGCTGTCTTCGCCTGCTGGACTCCTTTTCCCTGCACCTTCTCCTGGGTTCTTTAGGGTTCTTTAGTTTTCTTTAGGGTTCTTTAGGGTTCTTTAGGGGTTTAGGGGTTAGGGGCTTAGGGTTTAGGGGTTTAGGGTCTTGCTTACGGTTTTCTCGTAAAGTGCAATGGCTTTCTCCTGGGTTCTTTAGGGGTTTACGGGGTTAGGGTTTAGGGGTTGATGGGAGGCACCTTCTCCTGGGTTCTTGTTGAGGAGCCTAATTCAAGTTACCATAGTATGGAAACCCTATGTTATGACTTACTATAGATCCCCATTATGGTAGCTGAAGCCTTAAACCCTAAACCTTTAAAGTTATGACTGGTTATAGATCCCTATTATGGTTTATCCTCAGCCTGGAACCCTAAACCCTTAAAGTTAGGACTGATTATAGATCCCTATTATTGTTTACCTTACGCCTTAAACCCTAAACCCTTAAAGGAGCCCTTATGGTTCATTTTAAGCCCTAAAGCCTAAACCCTGAAAGGAGCCCTTATAGAACCCTTCCTAACAAGAGAGCCCAGTCGCTGGCTCCAAATGATCCACATTGAGAAGTCGAGCAATGCGCTCCTCATAGGGACTTTTAGGGTTTAGGGTTTAAGGGGGTTTAGGGTTTAGGGGGGTTTAGGGTTTAGGGGGGTTTAGGGGGGAGGGGGGTAGGGGACTATACCTCCCCCTACCCCCCTAAGGGTCCCTATGCGCTCCTTCAGGCTGCGACGCCAAGTCATGGCTGGACTCTTTGGCTGAAGTCGCCCCCTTTCTTAGAGTCTAAACCCTTATAGAGCCCTTTAAAGGAAGTCTTATAGTACCCTTATAGTAACTCTTTATAAAGGAACCGTAAGGTACCCCGATCAGATGGCCCTTGAAGAACGGGTCTTTTCGAATCAAGGCTGCAGGAGGGGGGGGGTTTACACTGTCGACTAAGTAGACTTATAAGTACCCTAAACGGGATCCTAATTGGGGTTATGGTACTTATAAGTCCCTAAAATACCCAGTTACGAAATCCCCCGACCCTCCAAGTACACTGTCGACTTGAACTTGAAGGTTTGCGAAGCACGGCTGCGACGGGAAGGACCAAGCGCACTCGTTGCCCTCCTCGGGCCTTTTTGTAGGGGCAAGTTCAGTCTTGTGTTGCTTCGCCCATGGTGGGCAGTGAGTGGCGTTACGGCTGCTGTGCGGAATGAGCGGTACGCGTCGTTGGGTGGCTGTCAGAATTATGGTCCCTTTTGAGGTCCCTATTATAATAGGGCACCTATTATTTAGGGTACTCAAAAAGGGACCTAAATCTTGACAACTACCGGGTTGGGACTCACATCATTACCTTAGTACCAGCAAGGACTGGCCTTGAGGATCCACGCGACCATATTGACATCATATAGTGTGTACTTTGCCTCTGGCGTCTAACAGCAGCAATAGACGTACTAGTAGTAGTAGTAGTAGTAGTAGTAGTAGTAGTAGTAGTAGTAGTAGTAGTAGTAGTAGTAGTAGTAGTAGTAGTAGTGGTAGTAGTAGTAGTAGGCCCCCCCCCTACCAACCACCCCCTTTTACATGCGTTGCTTGGGGTGGGGGGGGGGCTGATAACGTACAGGCAGCCTCGAACAGTTGCCAGCGAATATCCACAGGAACTGCTCCTAGTAGCCCAGATGCTCCAGGATGCTTTGTATGCTATGCTCATGATGCGATTGCATGCGTGGGGGGGGGGTGGGGGGGGGGGGGGGGGGGGGTGGGGGGGGGGGGGGGTGGGGGGGGGGGGGGGGGGGGGGGGGGGGGGGGGGGGGTGGGGGGGGGGGCTGATAACGTACAGGCAGCCTCGAACAGTTTACAACAGTATCTTTCGTGCAGACATAGCTTTGACCAGACTGTTTGACGGTCTCGCCGTCGTTTTTGTCGATACAACTCTTCTAGCGGATGGCTGGCTTGTGCGGGAACATCGTCTCGCTCAAGCCTCCACGCCAACCATTGACTGCTAGCTCCACCAAACCTTGCAGGGACACGCGCCAAGCAATGACTGCCAGCTCCGAAAAAACCTGCGAGACACGTGCAGTCGCAATCTGCATGCCTCTCTGTTCTGTTCAAGTCGTGATGATGTTCGTTGTTGATGATGATGATGACGAAGATTTAACATACCAGATGAACTACTTTAAAGACCGAGTAAAACAAGCCTTCCCCCAACCAATTTCGAGTTTTCGCTGAAAGCCCTCGCAAAGGCAAACAGACAACGTAGAAAAGTCCAGAGGTAGGCTTGGCAACTTTATAAGATGGCGGACATCCTGAAAGTACTGTAAATACCGAGTAAAATGGCTCTTGCGGAGATGTTGTTCGAGGTGTCCGCGTAACAATCTCGACTTCATTCTTCCCGCACACACACGCACCCCCACAACAAAAAAATCCACAATCGGATGCTGGAGTTTGAAAACTCGCAGGTGAAACTTCTAGCTTCATAAGATGTTCCTACATGACGAAAGTGCTGTAAATGCCGAGTAGAACGGATGTGGGTTACAAGAGTATGTAAAAGAGGTGGTTGGTATGGGGGGGGGGGGTGGCTAGTAGTAGTAGTAGTAGTAGTAGTAGTAGTAGTAGTAGTAGTAGTAGTAGTAGTAGTAGTAGTAGTAGTAGTAGTAGTAGTAGTAGTAGTAGTAGTAGTAGTAGTAGTAGTAGTAGTAGTAGTAGTCAGTAGTAGTAGTAGTAGTAGTAGTAGTAGTAGTAGTAGTAGTAGTAGTAGTAGTAGTAGTAGTAGTAGTAGTAGTAGTGCTAGTAGTAGTGGTAGTCGTCGTAGTAGGAAGAGTAGTAGTAGTAGTAGTAGTAGTAGTAGTAGTAGTAGTAGTAGTAGTAGTAGTAGTAGTAGTAGTAGTAGTAGTAGTAGTAGTAGTAGTAGTCGTAGTCGTAGTCGTAGTCGTAGTCGTAGTCGTAGTCGTAGTCGTAGTAGTCGTAGTAGTCGTAGTAGTCGTAGTAGTAGTAGAAGTAGTAGTAGGAGTAGTAGGAGTAGTAGTAGTAGTAGTAGTAGTAGTAGTAGTAGTAGTGGTAGTGGTAGTAGTAGTAGTAGGCCCCCCCCCTACCAACCACCCCCTTTTACATGCGTTGCTTGGGGTGGGGGGGGGGCTGATAACGTACAGGCAGCCTCGAACAGTTGCCAGCGAATATCCACAGGAACTGCTCCTAGTAGCCCAGATGCTCCAGGATGCTTTGTATGCTATGCTCATGATGCGATTGCATGCGTGGGGGGGGGGGCTGATAACGTACAGGCAGCCTCGAACAGTTTACAACAGTATCTTTCGTGCAGACATAGCTTTGACCAGACTGTTTGACGGTCTCGCCGTCGTTTTTGTCGATACAACTCTTCTAGCGGATGGCTTGTGCGGGAACGTCGTCTCGCTCAAGCCTCCACGCCAACCATTGACTGCTAGCTCCACCAAACCTTGCAGGGACACGCGCCAAGCAATGACTGCCAGCTCCAAAAAAACCTGCGAGACACGTGCAGTCGCAATCTGCATGCCTCTCTGTTCTGTTCAAGTCGTGATGATGTTCGTTGTTGATGATGATGATGACGAAGATTTAACATACCAGATGAACTACTTTAAAGACCGAGTAAAACAAGGTGCCGGCGCCTGTACGGGGCCGTGCGCTGGGAGACATTTTTTTGTTGGCGGCAGACGGCGGCGAGGCCAAAACTCGAGCGAAACGCGCGTTTTGTTGAGATCAAGAGCTTTCGCAGGTGCCGAAAACACTAGAAGCTGAGAGGAGCTTTTTGCGAAAATGCCATTTTCCCATGCGTTTGTGTGCATTTTCAAGGCTTTTTTTCGCAGGGTCTTCAATATTCAAAGTTTCGGTATTTTTTTTTCTGCAAAATCGTGCTCTCGCCACAGCGCGGGCGCGTTTTGGACTGTGAGCATCTTGGGTTTTCAAGTTCTCTTTTTGCAGCTACTGCTATTTGTCAGGGATCGCCGCGAAGACTTTTGGTTTCAACATCGTGCTCTCTCCACAGCGGGGGCGCGTTTTTCGCTGTAAGCATCTTTAGTTTTGGGAGGCCTGCTGTGGGTTTTCATGGCTGGGGATTTCAGTCTTGGAGTTATTTCTTCAGAACTTTATTGGAGAACGATCTTTAGGGCATTGTGTAGGCTTCAGGGATAGTCACAGAAGTCCTAAATCTTGAAACCCTAACCTTGTGTGAATGGGAGGCCCAAAGAAGAAGGATAACAGAGCTGGATGATCTTTTCAGGCAGCCTTTGCGAGAGCCCCCAAGTGCTGCAGCAGACTTGCAGTGCCGATATGTCGGCGCCACAATGCACAGCAGTAGTACTAGTAGCACTTTGTTGTCCTTGTTGTTACCTTGTTGTTGTCGTTGTTGTTGTCGCACAAGAACGTCATTACACCCCACCCCCCCCACCCCCCCACCCCCCCACCCCACACCCCCCACCCCACCCCCCCCACCCCACCCCCTCACCCCCCCGCAAGAGATTTGGGACCCTACTGCCTACTTGGATTTCTGCTTTCGGGGCCTGAGCACAACAAGCGCAATTTCGAGGCCTGAGCACAACGCAGCAGTAGTACTAGTAGT